GGCGGCGGTGGTAAATTGAGAGGGACCGTTGTTGCGCCATTGTATATTATACATTCATACCATCTCTGTGTTTATCCGTTGTCTCTAAATGTATCAACATGTGTTGTCTGAGGGGCCAGAAACCGCCACGTCCACGTCGTTGGCCCCGGGTAGCGCAGAGAGCGGGAAGGTAAGTGACATTCATTGTTCCATAACTTCCCTCCTAATTGTTTCCGACACCTAATATTTCAGGGATTATCTAATCTCGGGGAATACTGCCATCCCTGTAAATTTGAACGAAATCGGAGGGGGGGGAGTGATACTATATATTTACCGTTTTTTTTGGCATTAACTACTACTAACTACTTAGATATCTCATTATCACAATTATTCATAGAAAATCGCCGAAAACTTGCGCTTCTCGACCTCCTGATCGCCGCATGGAAAGCCGCCGCAATTGACGATGAGGGCATTCAGGAAGAAGTTGATATGTTCGTGGCTGCTGTGCGTAAAACATTCTTAATTCAGAGGGTTAAAACAGCTCAACCGAAACATGAACTCGCAAGGAGATTGAAAAAAAATCTTTTCATAAAAACTCCACCAAGATTAGAAATCATAGATTCTAAGTCTCCTAGTACTACTTCTCCAGTTGCAACTGCAATGTAATAAATTCAGATTCTTATTTTTAAGGGTCACGATACTACAGCGGCAGCACTGAGTTTTACAACATTACTTCTTGCAAAGCATAAGGAGATCCAGGTAAGCGGATCTAATACAGGATGTGTCAATTGATTGATTTGCTTCTCATATTTAAACATTGATTTTCCCGAAAGGACAAATGTCGGGAAGAAGTCAATGAAGTATTAAACGGAATTCCAACGGGGAAAATTACCATGAAAGAAGTTCAGAGGATGCATTACCTGCAACAATGCATCAAAGAGGCCATGCGGTTGTACACTGTGGCTCCTCTAGTATCGCGAAAAGTGACCGAGGACACGAAACTGAGTATAATCCTAGCCATCAAACGACATGTCGTATTCCAATGAGTTTCAAACGTTCAATGATAATTGTTATTTTAGAGGATTATTTCATCCCTCGAGGAACTGAGGTTTGTGTTCACATACATGCTACGCATCACGATCCTAATTTCTGGCCTAATCCAGATGTATTCGATCCTGATAGATTTTCACCGGAGAGATCTAAAGGCAGACATCCTTATTCATACCTACCCTTCGGTTTTGGCCCCAGAACTTGTATTGGTAATGATCTACATTTTCTGATTGTGTACCCCTCACATTATTTTTACCCGCTTTCGCAAATGGTTTTCAATTTCTCCTTTTTTACTTCCAAAATGGAAGCATTGTATTCGTAAAATCCGAAATTTCCTATTTTTTGTGGCAGGATAACTAATTTTGGCCTTGTGATTTCAAAAATCACAACTTCAACGTTAGGACAATCTTGGCTACCAACTTTGGGGCAATGTTCGCTGTCAACGTTGAGGCAATGTTAGCTGCCAACCTTGGGACAATGATGAATTCAATGAATCATTGAATTCAATCTAAAATACAACCGCATAGAAATTCCATTCGAAATCAAATTGCCATTTGCTTAGAAAAAATATATTGACTATGCTGTGGCGAAAGCAATTTCCCACTTGTTTAATTCATCATTTTTTCAATTTCAATTTTTTCCCATTCATCAACTCGCCATTTTTTTCGTACGGTATTTCTATCCTTTAATTTTTTCATTTTTTCATCAACTCAATGGAACTATTAAAATTGAAGTGCTAATCGTGCTAATTTTATTGATATGTTGTTAATTTTATTAGCGTTTTCTCTAATTTTAGGGGCCAAGTTTGCACTGCTGGAAATAAGAACCGTTATGGCGAAGGTTCTCTCCAATTTCTGCCTTGAACCCGTGGATTTAATTGGTGATGTACGATTTTTGATGGATTTCATCATCAGATTTGGTGAACCAGTGCACGTGAAATTAGTTCCGATTATTAAATAAATTATCATCGAATTGTAGTGTGATTGTTTATAATGATAAATGAAAAATTGTCTTTTAAATAAATGAACGAAAAATTAGATTGAATACTTGAGCGTGAACTCCTGAGGCCAAAATTTGTTTTCCAGACCCAAGAAATTAGAAATGTCAAGAATTGAAATTAATTATATGTTCAATGGATGAATGAACAATTATTTGAATTATCATAACTGGATAATAAAACGGAAAAACAAACCTATTCAAATTAGTTGATCTCTTCAACAACAAGTCGGACTCGCGCGTCACCGTGAGTCTGTCTCTCCAGCATTTTGCATAAAAACTAGTTTCCGAAACTGAAATGAAAATACTAAAATAATATTTCTGAAACGCGTATTGAAGCATACGCGTCACAATAATGATTAGCATCATGGAGATGAACAGTTTCGTTGACTTTGAAAGAATTCACTCTATGTAAGAAACGAGAAGTATATATGGAATAGTCATGTCAAGCCTGAACAATATTGCAGATGAAGCATTTATAAATTCATCAATTCATAAAAAAAAATTTTCTTAACTTTGTTAATATTAACAAAGTAACGTGCACAGCAATTAATTCCTGTCCTCATTCTCATACTTCACATTATCTCCGAGCCCTAAGGGTGCGAATCAGGTTTCAAAATAGGTAGCAGTGCTATTCAACCTCATGCGCGAAGGAGGGAGAGAGATAATGTGTTTTTTCCCATTACAGTATCTTTCGGTTTTTTCAATGATATTTTTCCGCCACATGAGTGGTCAACGAGCAAAATCAAATTTTGTTTTGTAATTTATAATGATGTACAGAGTAATGTTTAATGCCATATTAATAGTTAGTAAAGAAAATCACATGCTGATTACCTTTCTGATGAAGAATGGATCAAAATTTTTTTTTCGTCATTCAGGCCCGTTAGGTAGCGCCTACTATAGCTGTCTTGAGGGAAGCTAAATGGCGTTTAACAGACCAGGTCCGTTAAACGAAGCACAGGTATGGTTAACTCGAGTTAGCAGCCCTAGGACAATAAAAACATACAGTTTCTAGATGGGCAACCCACAAAACCTTCGTAGGAATACAACATGAAGTGTGCGGTTATCGCTGTCACTTGCTTGAAAACTCGGCGGATCGTTCACCACTAATACGATGCGCCACCGTCATTGCCGATGACATCAGGAGTTGTTATTCCGTTGCTAGGGAGTCAGTCGTAACTTGAGGGTTATATTGTCAAAATATTAGTTTAATAAAGAGATTATATTCACTTTCTCGTTATATATCTATTTTGAATAGATTATATATATATTTCTATTAAAATGTGATGAAAAATTTGAGTATGTTGTGAGAAGAACAGGAACGATGAAAAAGAAAAGTTGTAAACTGTAGATGTTCACACGTTGATTTTCCCATGAGAATAAATTTAGAAAAATGATTAATACTTCTTTTTATTCTTTCAATTTGTTGCAATTTCCATTTCAGGAGGAGGAAGATTTCCATTCTCATCTAGATGTTTTTTGAATGTTTTTGACAGACTCCGTGAATTACAACTTTTGCATTCGTTCTTTCGAATCTCAATTTAGGATTTTGCATCTCTTTTTCTTCAATATTTTCTCTTCACTTGTCATTTCGTTTTTCTACAGTGGGGGGGGCTTCGCCCCCCCCAACCCCCCACCGGGGCCTGCGGCCCCTGGACCCCGCTTCTGCGCCCCCTCCCCTTCCCCTCCCCCTCACCTTCAACGGGCCTTCATGACAAAAAATAGTATGTGTCATACGGACCGTGACGTCGGTTTGCGATTCGTGTGAGTTAGCAGCACTCATCGCAAACCTTCGTCTACGGTCCTAATGACACAATATACTATTTTATTACCTTGCTATTGGGTTATGGTAATGACTTCAATTTTCATTATTCATTTAATCACATACTGCAACAAAAAGTATTTGCCGTTTTACCCTTATGATCGTTTGGGTTCGCCCCTTCATTGGACCCTTACGAACGTTTCACACAATCAGAAAATAGAGATCATTACCAATGCAAATTCCGGGGCCAGTGCCGAAGGGTAATTGTGATAATGAGATATCTAAGGAGTTAGTAGTAGTTAGAATCTAAAAAACCGTTGACCCTCAACTTTCCGTGTTCCCACGCCTCTGGATTGAGTGAATTTACTACAAGTAAATGAGCAGAATTAGGTGCACTAGTAAAAGCATTCAAATGACTACTGGTGGAAGCAATAGAAGTAATAGGGATATTATCTGTATTTCGATGTTGCTCTGCTCAGTGAGGCCTTCCTCAAGATGGACGAAGAAACCGTACATGAGTTGTTGAGCCTGTCGAAGTAGATGGAGCTAGTAGAACCGCTGGTTTTGGTGGAACTTGTGGTACCGGTGGAACTACTGGAGCTAACGGGACTACTGGTGCTGGTTGCCTGTCACGTAATAATTCCATCATTGTATTGCGAATATCACCCAGAAAGTTCTGTTGAGAGAAGCTGTTGAAAATTTGGAAAGATTCGGTGATTTTCCAGCATTTCTGGAAGGGGGAAGGGCAGATTTTCTTTATGGAAAACCCGACAAAGAGAATTAGGCCAGAACCGAGTTTATTGATTCTGTCAAAACATTTATGCGTAAGGATATTCACGAATGGGCCCATTGTTTAGTCTTAAATACAACACAAATACTGCCAATTGTCTCTGATAACTGATGAAAATTGGACTGGTGAGTTTCATTGTCCATTTGTATTGGATTTTACTAAAAAGTAGATAAATTTCGTATTATAGCTTTTGCAGTTCCTTCCTAAGAATTTTTCCAGCTGCACTTTTTGGGATTTCATCAATGAATTCTACTTGATCGATATGTTTATGTTTGGATAGCCGCTCTGCAACGTAATGTTTTACTTCGTTCTCTGTGATTTTGATATTCGGTTTTGGTACAATGAATGCTTTCGGTACTTCTCCGAGTCTTTCGTGGGGTATTCCAATTACTGCAACGTCTGCGACTTTTTCGTGGCCAATGATGACGTCCTCCAGCTCGGCTGGAGACACCTGGAAGCCCTTGACTTTGATGAGCTCCTTCATACGTCCAGTGATGAATAAATGTCCTGAAAATAATTATCAAAGGGTGAAAACATTCACGAAGAAGGAAGTTTAGTAAATATAATGTCACACTCCAGTGAAGGGGGATACAATTATGGATTACGGTACATTCTGGTGATTCTTTTGATTTGGACGGATTATACTTATACTTATTATTTCTTCATTATGATCCATACCGTTTTCATCAAAACGACCTAAATCACCTGTCTTGAACCACTCGCCATCCATACAATCGGTGGTGGCCTTCACATCTTTAAAGTATCCTGCCATTACCTGTGGTCCTTTCACAACAATTTCCCCTATTTCGTTAGCCCCCAGGTTTTGCCCAAACTTATCATTTCTGCGAACAATTCGGACCTGGGTATTTACCACTAACGAGCCTACAGACTCCTGAGGCGAAGCATTCGCTACTGATATTACCGATGAGGTCTCGGTCAATCCATAGCCCTGCTTAATAGTGGTTCCCATTTTCGAGTGGAATTTGGTAAGTAGTTCAGGTCCAAGGGGGGCTCCTCCGCATATAACACGTTTGAGGCTTGCCATATCTTTTTTATTGAAACTGTCATCATTCACCATAAGTTGAACTACTGGAGGTACTAAGTTTAGTACTGTTGTTCTATTTTTCTCAAGAACTTCTAGTAAATTTTTCGATGTGAATTCGGGCATACAAATGACTTTTCCACCCATCCTGAAAAAAACAACCAATTATAAATACTAATGGCTGGGGGAGGACGAGGCCAACATGCTGTGAGCTATAAAAAATTTTAATTGATTTGAAAAATTAGGGATAAGATGAATCGGATGATGGGACTAACTCCAAAAGAACAACTTTCATTCTTCATTTACCTGAGATAGAGCTGGAGACACGCCACAAAACCATAAATATGGTAGAAAGGTAGAAACACAGGTACAATATCTTGGTGCTCACCACGAGTTTGCAAGAATCCATCGAAATGGGATGTGACATGTTCGAGTTGTGTTAAATTAGCGACAATATTCCTAAAAAAAAAATATGAAGAGCAAAAATCAATGGTTTGTGTTGATTGGTTTGCATCTATTCCTTGATGGAGATTGGATTAGTGAGTTTTCCGAACCTGTGAGTGAGTTGAACGCATTTAGGGAATCCACTCGTTCCACTTGAATACGGTAGAACAAACCCATCATTTTTATCATCGATTCCAGTTTGTTCTCCAGTTTTTTCGAATTCCTCAATTCCATCATCAATCAAATCCCTGAAGTTTATTGCACCTGTAGGAATGGGCTCGCTCCCACTCGGAATAACAATGGTTGGCAATCGGATCGAATTTCCTCCTTTTAGATCTTCTACTATTACTGGATATTTCTTCTGAGTTGTAATTACTCCAATAGCTTCTGACTTCCCAATTTGTACACTCATTTCATAAGGTGTAAACGCAGGGTTTAATAATGTCACCTGAAAATTCGTAAGTTCATCAATTATCCAATTTTCATTGGCAAATGGATGAACGAGTGTGATGAAGAGTAACAAAAAGGGAAAAGCAATGGGTGATGGAGAAAACCAGAAGATTACCTTTACTCCAGCTTCACTCGCTCCTAACACGACAATGGCATACTCCGGAATATTAGGAAGAACAACTGCCAACGTATCCCCAGGTCTCACACTATTTCGTCGCAAAGAAGTTGCAAATCTTCCAGATAATCGCCTCAACTGCCCATATGAATACGATCTCCCAGATGATGCACACACCTAGATTAATAATAACAGTTTTCAGAGAAAATTCAACAAGATTCTCAATGAAGATTGATCAGCCTCTCAATGAGAAACTAATTTAGACAGTGAAAACGAGAATGGGAACAGCGGAGGCGTTTTTGAGGTTTCCCAGGATGTGTGGCATCAGTAAATTGATGTAAATTTATTGGAACTGAAACAATTAGCACTCGTTATGGCACGGTCATGAATATCGGTACCGGTCATGGGTATTTACAAAAAAAAAAAAAAATTCTAAGAGTTCCAAGAGAATTAGAATTTACAGAGAAAAAATTTCCGCTTAACCCAGCCGGGAATCGAACCCGGGTCTCCCAGGAACGCGCCGGGCGCTCTTACCGACTAAGCTACCGGGAACCACAGAAATTCATGACCGGTATCTACCGGATCGGTATCTGCGGTCATGGGCATGGCCGTGAAATCCCCATGGCCTTCGAAGACGATTTGGGGGTTCATAGCCATCTTTCACAGCCCCAAATCTCAGGAGTTCCATGGCCTCATTGCTGGGCGAACATTGACTGAGGGCGGTGGGGCGATCACAAGGATCAGACCGGAGAAGTAAACGTAGTTATCGCAAGGATCTAATTGGAGTGATGAATTGAGTAATCGCAAGGATCAAAGGGAAGAGTCCAACGTAGTTATCGCAAGGGTTTGAGTTTGTCCCCATCTCCATTCTTTACAGAGATATAGCCCGCCAAATAAAAGCGCGGGCAGTCTACGCACTTACTATCCACACACTGAATACGATCCTGAGCGTGGTATTGGCTCAACTAGTTGCGCAACTAGTTTATTGCTCATATCTCGGAATCTGAATAAGATATATGAAATTGACAAAAGAAAATAATGATTCTCTATTAAATTCTAAATTCTCGGGTTCTCTAAACCCCTCGGCGGAGTGCAGAGAATAGGGTTGAGTTACCAACCGAGCGCGTCTCCGGGTGGCGGTTAGGACAGCCAGACGGACTAGCTGGCTCACGACAGAAATCGGCGACAGACACCCGAGGCCTGGAAGGCGGCTAGTAAAACGACTGGCTAATGGTGGTAATAGGGCAAGCCAACCGGAAAATCGGGCGGTGAGCCTAAAGCCCCGTCGCGGACCAACTCCCCGAGTCAAGGTGTTAGCTACCGTGCCGAAGGCTGCGTGGCGCAGGGGGTGCTGCGTCACTCACGGTGCTCTCGGATACCGGGCGACCTCCGAGTGTATCAGCCAAGCCCCAGTATTCACGGCTATGACTGGGTGAGACCGCTTTGCCGTGGTACTCGTAGGACCAAAAATGGACGCTAACAAGAAAATATATATGGTCCCCTTCAGGCCCTGATCTAGCATGCCGTAATCAAGTATACCGTATCGATACCGGAGCAGGGCCTTCTCTGCCAAAAGGTCTGCCTGACGAAATTTCTATTCGGGGACTAAATGCTGGTTCAGTGAAAAAATGTCAATATGGGTGGCTGAAAAATGCCAATTAGATAACCATAGAAAATGTTTAGGTACATACAAGGGCAGTTTTATCCCACCACTTATCAACATCTTTCCAAATGATCTGATGTAGATAACCAGATGGAATTTCCACGTCATCGAAAGGGCTCGTAAGTACATTGTAACGATTGGCGCTGCACCCAACTGCGCACAGGGTTGTTTTGACCGTCAACTTTGATTGAGAACTACTGAAGTCATTTCCTGGCTGTAAATGACATAATTCGAACTTTTTTGGGCCCAACAATTGATGAATGATGAATTTTTGTTTTGCATGCACTTTAACTTTATGAAACGTGAAAAATCGTTGCATTTTCCCGTTTATTGTTGGCTGTTCACTTGCGTAACTGACAAATGAGATTCAAGTTGACTGAAGTAGCGAGACCGGACGGCACGATGGACGGACTTCACTTGAACTGAGAAGCCCTTCACAGGTAAGGACAGAAATGAATGTCATAGCGCGTAGTGGTGGAAGAAAAACCATTACGTCAGTTGAAAAACTCTCGATCATATGAGTCTCTTCAGAAAAACATTAATTGCCGGCCATACATGGGGACAATTGTGGACCATCAAAAATGGATTAACGTGCGGCTCTCATTTCAACCAATGATTAATAAGGTATAATTTGAAATCATGTATTTTCCATCCACGGTGATCGAAGAATGTTGACCTTCCAGCATTAGAAGTTTGTCCGGTGGATACTCCCACCCCAGGCAATTCGGATTTGTGCGTGTGACACCTAGAATTGAGAGATCAACTCTTACTGGAAGGCTTATGTATAAGGATGGGAATAATTCTAAGACTGGTGAAGTGAATTCCCCGCATCCCTTCAGAATTTCCCATGCACATCGAGAATTTTACTTGTCTCCAAATGAACACAAGGTGGCCATTTTGAAAAAACAATTACATCGGACCAGTAGTTTTTGAGATATTGAGCAAAGGTGTTTCACATACAAAGTTCAACATCTTCGAAACTACTGGTCCGATTTAGATCACCCGAAATTCCAAACTTTGTCATGAGAGACCTAAAATCCTACCAAGTTCCAAGTTTCTATCTCGATTATTTTTTAAGTTATGCGTACAAGCAATTTCAGTGGAAAAAAAGGAAGAACGAGAATAAAACTACATTGTTCGGGGTGGGATGGTTTTGCGATTTAATGGACCTTGTTACGATAGCGACAGGTATGACGGGTATTAACTGAAAAAAATGAATCGGTTAGTTCAAGAAATATCTTCAAAAAACTGTTGTTGAACAATCCCTGTATCGCAGGAACTGCTCAACCGATCGAGCTGAAATTTAACACAAATTTGGGTCTCAGTAGTACCAATTAGCAGCCACAATTTCAGAGTGTTTGCGTTAACCATTCTCAAGTTATAGGAACAGTTCTGGACAAACGAACACACATTGATTCCCACATGCATACATAAATAATAAATCAATCTTCAAATAAATCATAAGCTCGTGGGCCTTTCTGATATCTTCCCTCCACTAATATCATTAATAGAAATTTTCGAAAGTTGAGAAAAACGAAGCTGAACAGCATTACCAAAAAGTGGGACATTGGACTCAAATACGATGCCCATTCATCTTAGTTAGATTCAACTTTCTAAAACTTTCATTGGAAGTTTCATTATCGATTTCCTAATCACCTTACCTTATTTTCCATTATCTTATCAGTGGTCGTTAAAAAAATCAAATTCTGATGAATTTTCTAAACAACAATGGAGCAAGATTTGTTTTTCATTCCCTCGTTATTGAGTAATTATAATGACATCAATTTTCATTATACATTTCATCCCTACCATAAAAAAAGTTGTGAGTTGTGGGATGGAGTGGGACACTCATTCGATTTGGACCTTTGCCAAATTCGGGTTAAATTGCATAGGGAAAATTATTATAACAATAATATTAGAATATTCATTTAATCCAAAGGGTTAAATGAGAACGACGAATAAAAATATTAAAAGATAATTTACTTTTTTCGCGGTCAATCGCCCCTCTTAATGAATTTCTACAGGGAGAAAGAAGTTGGGGAGAAATTACCAAACAAGTCAAGTAATCGTGGAGCAAACTCGATTTTTAGTACTTTTTTACCTTAAATAGGAGAAGTGCGAGATTAATAGTGAAATTGACTCCGTTGACCCGGGATAATTTACTAAACGTGAGGATAATTTGTACCGAAACTGTAAAATTTACCCTGCATCCCATCGAAAATTATCCCATAAATTAGTGTGACTTTGCCAAATAATTTTCAGTATTTTTTTTTTTATTTTTGGGGTTCATACTAGGGGGTTTATTCTAGAATCGTGTGAAGACTGATTGAATAAAATTTCTTTTTACCGAATTTTGTCAGATTTTCAACTTACAGTGGTTACTCCCTAACATTTTAGCCTCTGATCTCAGAATTCAAGAATTTAAATGTTCGGGAAGCCCTTACTCTTCGTTTGGAGGCGGGCTGGAAAAGAGATAAACAGAGAGAAAGAATCTGCCTGTTTCACTCTCACACGCCGAGAGTAATTTTACTGCGCAGTCCCGTCGCGCAGAGGGAGACACAGATTTACCCAAATACATTTACGTTGTCGATGGTGGGGGAAGTCAACTTCTCCGACTGAAATGTTAGGGAACCGAAGTGTTAGGGAGTACAGTAGACTCTCGTTATAGTCGCATTCGTTATAGTCGCATTTCCCCTCATATCGATTTTTTCGAGCTCGAGCGCTTCCCCCACTCCGTACCACCTCCGAGGTGTGGATTTAAATGCCCCTGTGTTTTCTCGGAATGGGTTTTGTTTTGCATTTCTAAGAAATTCGGGAAATAAAATTTAGGAAAAATGAATTTGCGAGAGAGAAATTCAGTTCACTCTTGACTGTCACGAAGAGAGGGTCTTTGCAGTGGTGCATAATCCTGCTTTTTATTTGAATGAAGTGAATAAATTTTGGAGTGTATTGAACAATGCGATGTTATTAATATTTCTATTCATTTCATTAGTTTACTAAAAGTGCTCAACGCAATTCATTTTGTTAATTTAATAAAAGTGTTTAATGAAAATCATTTTTATATTTAATAAAAATGTTCAATGCAAATTGAAGAGAAAAATAATTGGAGTAAAAGTTATTTTCTTATCGCTCCCGATTCCCGGAATTTAGGCTTACCGTGAGCGCCTGGTGGGGGAAGAGAAATACAGTCCCATTCTCAGAATCAGCTGCCCCTACAGCCCCGTGAGTGCGACTATAACGAGAGTCTACTGTAACCACTGAAGTACAAAATTGTTGAAAATTTTCGAATAAATCCAAATAACGATTATTGCTGTCGCTTTCATTATCGAACTCAGTCGAAGGGACATCCAAACAAATTTTTTAAGCCATCATTCAATCAAGTCAGAACATTTGTTTCAATTATCGTGAGGCAACCGATTTTCGAAAAAATTCAAAAATTAAAAACTTTAATCGATGAATTAAATTTTAATTAATGGCGATCGATAGGACTCAATAAGACCTACATTCAAAAAAAAGATTCAATTCCATCCATTCATGAGAGAACTATTGAAGAAAAACTTTACCACGCACATACGTACGGACGTGGTCTAAAAATGGTAATTTTGGATTTTTTGGATCATAATTAGGTGATATAATACAAAAAATCCAAAATTTAAATTTGAACGATTACAATGCTTTTATTCGGAAGAAAAAAATGGCAATGTACTGAAATATAAGCGTAGAAATTGTAATTATGATTTCCCTGAGTTAGGAACGAAAAATTGATGCAATAAGTCATGATCTTCATGTTAATTTGTTGTGTGATCATCTTGGTAGTAAACAGTTGTGGAAGACCATTTCCTGAGACAATTTTTGTTAATGCGAAAATTTTATCCAAAAAATGTTTCGATGCTTTTTTTCAAATTCATTCCATATCGAGATGATTTGATGATCATAAATACGAATTTTTGTGTTTGATTCTGTGTTTCAGAACAATTGTGGCAATTTTGGAGAAATGCAGCAAGAGACTACTATCCTGTTTACAGATACTGGGTTCTAAACTTGCCAATTATTTCTATTTACCATCCTGATGAACATGCAGAATTTGGAGAAAGCCTCAAAACTAAGATACAGACATCCAGGTATGTACATTTAATTTCTAAGATCTCCTAGTGAAGAAATGGCGAAACTATCGAAACTTTTATCACTCATGTTATCAATCATAACATGTTATCACTCATGTTAACAACTCGGAAAAATATCCTTACAGATCTTGCAATCGAAAAGAATTCCCCATTTGACCAACATTTTTTCAAATTATCGAATTGTTATTTAACTACTTACCATAGTTCCATGGCGTAGATCCATGGACTCACTTCATAATTGATCCATCACGTTTTTGAAGGCTCGCTGCAGAGAGGAAATACAAGAAGTCATGAGGGAGAACGTCAATGGGAAAATGAATATAAGAGATGTACAGAAGCTGAATTACCTTGATCGATGCATCAAAAAGTGTCTGCGATTGTATCCTGGTGTGCCCACATTCGGTCGGAAATCAACTGAAGACATACAACTCCGTATATTTGTTTTATTCCTCAAATTATGGAGAACGACTATAGAATTGACGTTAATTGTAATTTTCATCTTCCATCCAGAAACTTGTTTCATACCTAAAGGAGTTACGGTAACTCTTCAAGCTTTCGATACGCATCGAGATCCACATTACTGGCCTCATCCAAATGTCTTCGATCCTGACAGATTTTTACCAGAAAATTCAAAGGGAAGACATGCTTTTGCTTACGTACCATTTAGTGCCGGACCAAGAAACTGTATTGGTGATTAATTGAATGGTTTTCACAATTATGCAGCAAATTCATTCAACACAATTTAATCTGTCGTGTAGGACGATATCCAGCGATGGATTTGCGTCAGTGTTACCAGATCGTGACGTAACCCCATTTAAAATTGTACAGGTTTTGGCCATAAATCGCCAAAATCTGGCAACCCTGATTTGCGCACTGATTGACGTTTTCTTCTATTTTCAGGGCAAAAATTTGCAATGTTGGAAATGAAAACCGTCATAGCAGGATTGCTTCTTAATTTTCACCTTGAACCAATGCAGTTGGCAGCTGATGTACGAATGATAACGGGTCTGGTCTTGAGAACTGCGCATCCAGTGCTTCTCAAATTTGTTCCAATTCCTAAATAAATAACGTTTTATAGAATGAGAATAATAGCGACAGTAGTCGCCACACGGGTCGCGTGCGGCTCCGGTTCTGGTTAGAATTTGGAAGGGTGATCGCTTAGCCCTACCTCGTGTGGAACGGAAATTATGGCCGTTCCTATTTTCTGATTGAAACTCATTTCAATGATATATTTTCAAAAACAAATATTATAAATATATTATGAAGAAACATATTATAGATGTGACGTTTTGAGTTTAACCCTGGGATTATACTCAAGTAAATGTCCTTTACTTGTTCTCCGATCTATTTTGGATCGTTTTCCGTTCACTCCAGCCTCGGCTAACTTCGGCGGTGAGCTCACGGTGGATTCGCTCACTCGGAGGGATGTTGGACAACGGATATGAAGGGTGAAGTTCTCAATAACCACTCGCGTGTTCAATACCTCAAACGATGGTATATTAAACTGATTATATTACACGCTATTGGATTGAACTGGGTCGGTATACGCATTGCCATTTTAATGGCTACGACATGGGACTTTGACTCGATTTTTCCTACGGCTGAAGGCCCAAGCTCAGAGATCCGCTCTGTTCTGCTCCTGATCGTACTCTGCTGCTTCCAAAGTCCTCGAAACTCGTCAAAGCGCCAGTTTGCTGAGCTAAGCAATCTCACGGTTTTCTTCACTAATACCGTCTCGTGTCATCATCGACACAGACTAAAACAGTCAAACAGTTCATCAACCTAAGCTGGACTTGCATAAACCGTGGGACTGCTCATCATGACATCCACATGACACCGTGGAACTGCTGACCAATGTCTGGATGATCTAGGAAAGAGAAATCATATTTCTCGTTTCGTGGGTTTCGTAGTCGTTCTCAATACTTCACACAGAGAAACGCATAATCTTCTTTTATACGCTTAAACCCCATACATCTAGATAGCATACGATAACAATGCTGTTATTGAAAACAATTGACATAGATTTCAACTAAATAATAACTGACATGATATCACAATTATCATTCACTGCCTCTCAAATTTGTTCCAATTCGTAAATGAATAATGCTTCATAGAATTAGAATATTCATGTTCTTCCATGATAATATTTCTACGTCATTCGTCAGTGGATCACAAGAAAAATCAGTGATGACTTTTAAAGGGTTATTAATACCTCGAAAAACTGTTATTTCGATTGAATAGGAGATCTTCTATTTTCGTAAATTACAAATTTCAATAATTTTTCAATGCTTATTTCTGCGACAGGGGGAGAGTGTTCATAGCCGATAGATTGTTAGCTAGGTGTTGGTGGATGGTGGACTATAACTCTATTGCTAGCCAATCATTGATCAATCGAAAGCCATTAACCATTGATCGGCGATCGATGGGCGCTTGACTGACTGCACAACTCAACACCTCTATCGAGTGATCGTTGTACGCACATCAGTTAGTCATTGATTAGGATCCATGCGAAAATGGAGTGATTCACTTCAGTAACATTGATTTTATCATTGTCGTGTGTTATTTTCCGGGTTCCGGGTTATTATAAGTTTATTTGATGTTACAAGAAGGTTAACAGATGGGACCTTTGTGCCCCTGCGGACCCTTGGGGCCTTTAGAGTCATAAGGGTCTCAGGGTACAGCAAGGTTACAAGGGTCAAGAGGGTCAAATTCCCTTATTTGATTATAAGTCTATTTGATGTTACAAGAAGGGGTAACGGAGGGAACCTTTGTGCCCCTGCGGACCCTTGGGGCCTTTAGAGTCATAAGGGCCATAAGGGTCTCGGGGTACAGCAAGGTTACAAGGGTCAGGAGTGTCAAAATTTCTTATTTGATTATAAGTCTATTTTATGTTACAAGAAAGGGTAACGCAGGGGCCCTTTGTGCCTCTGCGGACCCTTGGGGCCTTTAGAGTCATAAGGGCCATAAGGGTCTCAGGGTACAGTAAAGTTACAAGGGTCAAGAGGATCAAATTCCCTTATTTGATTATAAGTCTATTTGATGTTACAAGAAGAGGTAATGGAGGAGACCTTTGTACCCCTGCATTTCCGACTATCTGTTGAACTGATAATCTTTCTGACATCTGATTAATTTTAGAGAGCCGCAAACGACTCACCTTCCTCGTCCTTTTGATTGCTGCATCACGCAATGGCTAGGGAATTGACGACCGTGGAATGCGGGAAGAACTGGATACTTTTGTTTTCGAAGTCAGTATCAGAATCAAATCTTATTTCCCCTTGGTATTGTCCATTCCAAATCCATTCAAGTACCTTCTACTGTCCCGCCGCGGATAATGATTTTTCTTCACAACTTTCACTATCCATCTTTATGCAATTTACACGTGCACATGACGATTATCATTATCATATGTCATACGATAGCGACATAGGTTTCTTGTAAAAGTCAAGTACATATCAGTTTGAACTTTATGAATATACTACTCATCCTCAATTATAATACTAATCTTCACGGCAGGAAGAATAAAACCACGTGTAGATAATTCCAACAGGAACTATTCCTCTCATTCCGTCTTACTTGTCAAGTGAATACGTCATCATTGTTGTTCCAAATCACCAGTACTGAATAATTTAATTGAATCAGACATGGATTTACTCTCTGCTATCGTGATATTGGGATTGATTCCAGTGGCAATTCTGCTGGCAATAAATATATGTCTGCATCGCAGTCGAATAGGTCGATGTGTCGATAAGATTCCGGGACCCAAAGGATTGCCCATCATTGGCAATTACCTGGATTTCGTTGTGCCAGTCGGTAAATATTGAATTATCATCACCAGACGTATCATCGAGGTGATCCTCCACCCAGTAGCCCGAGTGGAAATTGCTTCAGGTCCGCCTAAAGTATGATCAGAACTTGATCCAGTTTTCGTAAGATTTGACTGATCAGATGATTTCTGATGAGAACTTGACCAAGTTTTGATCTAATGGAACGGATTCCAAAAACTGCCGGCGAGTTCAGAACAAGTTCTGCTCAGGTAGGCGTGATCAGGCGACGCCTGATGAGATCTTGACCAAGTTTTGATCCAGTTGATCGGATCCCGAAAACTAACGGCGAGTTCAGATCAAGTTCTGGTCAAGTAGGCATGATCAGGTGATGCCTGATGAGGACCTGACCAAGTTTTGATCCACTCGATCGGATCCCAAAATTTCAGACAGGCTCAGATGTAGTTCTGATCAGGTAGACATGATCTCAGTCTAAGGTCAGGTTGCCTAAACCCAATTTGACCCGGAGCGGATTTGATGCAATTGATTTTCATTTGAACGGGGTTAATGGAAGACAAAATGATAAGGTTCGGATCCGGTCTACATGACCTTATTTTGAGCAAACCTTTTCCGAAAATCAAATTTTTAATTAATTAAAATTTTTAATTAATTTTCAATTGATTTTTAATCAATCAAGGAGGGGTGGCTCAATAACTATATATAGTCGAAGTGTCACACTCACAAGCAAATTATCTTGACTGGAAAAAACTTATCAAGCTCCCATTTGTTCATTAGTGTTATGATTATCAGAATTATTATCCATTAATGAAATGGATAAAATTATAACTAAACAAATTTTCTCTCTCTGAATATACGCGCAAATCGGCGAGATCATATATAATCTCAAAGTCAACAAATACCCAGATACAGATCATATAGGCAAAACGGAGTCCTCGTAATAACAATAGCGCGATAGTCTAGTGGTTAGGGCTTAGGATTAGTAATCGTAGGTTCTCGGTTCGATCCCCACCATCGAAAAAAATACGAAAGTTTTTTCAACGGTAATTACGATAGGGATTCATTAGGAGAGGCCATCTATCGCGAAAAAATTGAATTATCTTTTGTTTTGAATTAGTTATAACTAATAATTATTATTGATTCCAGCAGACAGGTCATCAAGTTTGAATACGTCAGCTTGATGAAATCCGGAACTGTTAGGCCTGATCAAGTCTTGATTAAAAACCGCGTTACATGACTGATCAGGACTTGATCCAGTCATTAGATCATTTTCTGATCAATCGTCAGGCCTGATTTGATCCAGTCCTGACTTGGACCTGACCAAAATTTCCACTCGGGAGAATGGTTTATTTGAATTGAATAAATTTTATTTGATTCAAGCAGAGTTTATTTAATTCAAATTAATCATTTTTCAGCGCGTAGATCTAGGAATAATTTAGTAGCAAAGCGGTAAAACGGTTCAAGTCGATTTTGGGTATTGGCCAGTTTTCGATGAGTACCTCGAAATCTGAGGGAGATAGTAAAATTTTTGTCATGACCTTTTTTGTAGCTCTCAATTCACTCTACATAAAAGGTTATAACGAAAATTTCATTATCTCCCTTAGATACGGAGATATTCTTCGGAAACTCCCGTTATACAGTAGGCTCTCGCTAGTTGCTCATCGAAAGGGCTGTAGGGGTACCATTTCCAAGAAATGAGCAACTTTCCACCGGCCTCCACTCCACAAACAATGTCGACCCAAGTTCTCAGAGAAATGAGAGGAAATGAATAGTTTTATTTTCGAACAGAATTATTTGGACCTCTGTGTTTACGTACAGAGGACAAAAAAAAGCGATAAGGCTGCCGAGAGTGGGGGGTAGCGCTCGAGTGTCCGAGAAGGGAATTTAGTCCATGCGCTGAGGCCAAAAGGTAGAAAAATGATGTAGTCTTGAAACTTGGGTATCTTATGTATTTTGATGTCCTGAAACGAATGAAAAATAACGATAAAAAAAAAAGTTTTCAGAAATCTCGCCTCGCGTGAGCGTCTGGTGGGTGTAGCGAAATACAGTCGCAATCTTAGAATTCACTTCCCCTATTCCCCCATACGTGCGACTATAACGGGGGTCTACTGGGGAAAAAATAATTTCTGCGAAATAGCTTACTTTACATAACTTTTACTTTCACTTTCATGGTCCATGGTTCCATGGTTCTTCATGGTGTAATTTCAGACGAAATTTTTCTGCAACTGAGAAAATTCAGTAAACAGTTTTATCCCACATATAAATACTGGATTTTACATCGACCGGTGGTGAATATTCGACACCCGGATGATGTTGAGGTTAATATTCAATCTAAAAAATTCTACTTCACCTGCTGGGTATTTGAATCAATTTTTTTCTCATGATTTTTTTTTCCAGTTGATACTGTCTAATATCAATACCATTGAAAAATCTACACATGTTTCTCTCCTGGAACCCTGGTTGAATGAGGGCCTCTTGATAAGCACAGGTATCTCCATGAAATTATGATTACTCCGATTATTTTGGTCAGATTATAACTTGATAATAACCAGTATGATGACATCATTAATGAAATAACTTATAGAGACAAAAATTTGAACGTGTGTAGTACCTACGCCCGCCAACGTAAAAAATGAACAAAAAATGAATCATTAAATTATAATTACACCAATTATTTTCTGCCTATGCGTGTTAACCAATTAGAATGCAGTATCCGTAAAAGTAATTATACATTAAAACAGATGTTCTATGACAGCGGATTAATAATCGACAATTTTCAGGGGATAAATGGCGCGGCCGAAGGAAGATGTTGAATCCTGCATTCACCAATTCTCTCCTCCAGAAATTTGTGGAGACATTTGCAGAGCAAACTGAGCGACTTGTAAGGTCTCTTAAAGCTGAAACAAGTGCACAGGACGGAGTCGCTGTTAAGAATGTTGAGCAGATGTTCTCGAGGCTCTCACTCAACATAATATGTGGTAATTAGTTATTTGGAATGACTTCCAGCAGCAGAAATCCCATAATTTCTGTACTTGTAGAAACGGCAATGGGAATATCTCTGGATGACAAAGATCGAGACCAATACGCCTACATCAATGCGATCCCCGTCGCTGCACAAATATTTCAATTCAGGTATTTTCTTCATCCGTCATTTAATTGTCATCAGTAATAAAGCTATGGATTTTAGATTAAGAGATTTTCCTCAAATGCTCATGCAGAATTTGCCGCTCATCGGTGCTTCCGATGATCATTCATGCATGGATTATGAGAACACAAATAGTTTGACTACAACTCTACTGAGTCATCATATCAATTTCAGATTCATGAGACCCTGGTTATCGAATAATTGGATTTTCTCATTAACAAAAATGGGAAAACAGCACGATAAGGTGCTAAAAATAATACACGGATTTTCAGGGAAGATTATTCAAATGAGAAAAGATTACCATCGTGCGAACGGCTGGAGATATTTGGAGGAATTATCGGAAGAAAATACACAAGAAGAAATTGAGGGCAAGAAAAGTACGGAAAATTTTTGATTTGATTAATTAAATCAGTCCCTTGGAAAAACCTCGCCCAACGGATTTGGAAGGAAAATACATTTTATTTCCAAATCCATTCGTTTGCGGGAATTGTTCTGACATTAGCGTCCTGCGCAGGACGCTCACCCTAGTGTGCTTCTGCCATCGACGCAGTAGACTGCGCAGTAGTCTCACGAGTGAATTCACTCAATCCAAGGGCGCGGGGACACGGAAAGTTGAGGGTCGACAGATTTTTTTTAAGGCACTAATTACAACCAACTACTTAAATATCTCATTATCACAATTATTCGCAGAAAACCGTCAAAGACTTGCGCTTCTCGACCTTTTGATCGCTGCATGGAAAGCCTCGGCAATTGATGATGCGGGCATTCAGGAAGAAGTTGATATGTTCGTGGTTGCTGTGAGTAAAGAATTTTAAATATAGAGGGTTAAAACAGCTCAGACGAAAGACAAACTCGCAAAGAAATTTAAAAAAATCTGATAAAAATTGTTCCAACCACAGAAATCAGAGAGACTCCAAGTCTCCCAACACTATTTCTCCATTTGCAGCGTCAATGTAATAAATTGATATTCCTATTTTCAAGGGTCATGATACAACAGCCACAGCACTGAGTTTTACAACATTACTTCTTGCAGAGCATAAAGACATCCAGGTAAGCTGATCTAATACAGGATGAGTCAATTGATTGATTTGCTTCTCATATTTGAACATTCGTTTTTCCGAAAGGACAAATGTCGGGAAGAAATCAATGAAGTATTAAACGGAATTCCCATGGAAAAAATTACCATAAGAGAAGTTCAGAGGATGCATTACCTACAACAATGTATCAAAGAGGCCATGCGGCTGTATGCTGTGGCTCCTCTAGTATCTCGTAAAGTGGCCGAGGACACGAAACTGAGTATAACCCTGGCCATCAATTAAAATGTTGTATTCTCATGAGTTTCAGAAGTTCAATGATAATTGTATTATTTTAGAGGATTATTTCGTCCCTCGAGGAACTGAGGTTTGTGTTCACGTATTCGATGTTCATCGAGATCCTCATTTCTGGCCTAATCCAGATGTATTCGATCCTGATAGATTTTCACCTGAGAGATCTAAAGGCAGACATCCTTATTCGTACCTACCCTTCGGTCTTGGCCCCAGAGCTTGTATTGGTAATGATCTTAATCTTCTGATTGTATCCTCCTAACATTATTCGCGCCCATTTTCGCAAATATTTTTTCCTTTCTCCTTCTGTAATTGTTCATTTTTCTCAATTTCAATTTTTTTTCCATTCATCAGCGCACAATTTTTTGCTTTCGAATGGTAGCGTTGTATTCGTTAAATCCGAAATTTCCAATTTTTTCATCAGGATAACTAATTTTGGTCTCACGAGTTCGGACATGTGTGTGTGTGTGTGACCGATCGTTTTTGGACGATAACTGAAAAAATAATTGTTCAAATGAATTCAATTCTGATTCAAAATATTCTGATCAATGCCATCTTGACCGAGTTCGATCATGAGGTTGATTGCATCATTTATTGTTGAAAAAATTAATTTTGAGACCGATATTCAGGGAAAGGTAAGAAAGTTTAACGTTGGGGTGTAATGTTGGCTGCCAACTTTGGCACAATGTTCATTCAGGGAACATATGTCCAATATTCAGGGAAAGATAAAACATTTTCACGTCGAGGTAATGTTGGCTGTCAACGTTGGGGCAATGTCGGCTACCAATGTTGAGGTAATGTTGGTTGTCAGAGTTGAGGTAAAGTTGGTTGACAATGTTGGCTGCCAATGTTCATTACATTAAATAATGCTGCCAATTTTACTACCGTTTTCTCCAATCTATAGGGGCCAAATTTGCAATGCTGGAACTGAAAACCGTTATGGCGCAGCTTCTCTCCAATTTCTACCTTGAACCCGTGGATTTAATTGGTGATGCACGCTTTTTGATGGATGCCGTCATCAGATTAGTTGATCCAGCGCACGTCAAACTTGTTCCGATTATTAAATAAATTATCATCGAAAGGCAGCGTGATTGTTCATAGCGATAAATAGAAAATTGTCTTCTAAATAAATGAAATTTTTTCCAACGTGATTTTTCTATGATGCAAATGATATTTGACGTACATTATTTATGAGGTCGATGATATATTTTTTTTACTACTCTCTATACAAAAGATGCCTCCCTTGCTACTCCCTCATGCAATAAAATCTTCACCTCTAACTATTACATATTCATTTCCATCCATTCCTTTATATATTTATCCAATTCCACAGAACCTTTCAAGACATGGAAATTGATACTCTCGCCGGGTGCACAATCATATTCTCCACATTACATAAATATTAATTAATAAGTAATCATGTAAAACATGGCGAGTTTTAAAATCCTCAATGTGTAGTTTCAACAACACACCAAAAACGTGTGGCATTTCGGAAAAAAATTGAATTTCCTGTTTTAGATGTGCAGTTTTATAAAAATACATAAAATATCGCTGTGTTCTTCAATCTACACATTGTGGAATTTGAACCGCGCAATGTGTAGATATGATTAGTTTCTGATAAAGTTTCTTTCTAATTTTTAAATTTTGGGTTTTCTTACCTCTTTCACTCTTTCACACACTTTAGACATTATAAAAAAAATACTGACCGTAAAATTGAAATAAAATTAAGCATAATTACCCTGAACATCAGCAACAATACGACTTTGAAAAATAGCAAATCGTCGAATCGAACACGAAATACAACGTTTTCCAGAAAAACCAAACCAAGGAATGTGACAACAAAGAGAAACAATTCAACCCAAAATACCATCATATAAAACTATTCAAATAACCATCAGAGGTAAAATTTAAATATAATGTTAAAGCTAAATTCAAGTTTGTTCAAAAACATCCATAAAAAATATACTGTGACAAGAGCACACAATTTGAAATAAATGCCACCATTCCAAAACATTCATTTTTGGATTTAATTCCAGTCAAAATAACAAACTTAATTTCAATAATAGCCTTTTTCATTCATGTCTTTCTTGAGATTTAGTATTCAATATAAATAATAGTCCGAAAGGGACTAGTCCGAGATTCGACACAATAAAAAAAATGTCTCGTTGAGTTATTCTTATTTTTCTTTCTTAGTCTTTCGAATCTTAATTTCTATAAATCTTTTATCTCCAAATTAATTGAAAATCCCCTCTTTTAAATATGAGACGAGGAAAATATATAGTTTATAAAAAAAAGTACTGATCTCTTTAGTTGTAACGAAAAATGTGGCTGCTCTGCTCGGAAACGAAAAAAAACGTGGGTACCCACAAAATGAAAAATACAATTGACACAACAATAATCCACTCGTGTGATCAGCACGGTGGTCCGAAGCAAAGAGAACGAACAGGCTCGCTAGCATCGTCTCGATGCCATCAGTCGCAAACCTTGTAATTTATGTTGATGTGACACTCAATAATATTATTCTCATTTGTGAGAATCAGAATATCGGACAAATAGATTACTTTTTACATTTCTGTTGATAAATTAAATTTAAATTACCACAAGTTATTCTATAATGTGGAGAATATGGTTGTGCACTTGACGAGCGTGTCGATGTCCGTGTGTTGAAAGATTCTGTGGAATTGGATGCATGTACAATTTTAAAAGGTTGACAATACTATGTGTGCAAAACTTTTGTGCGGACTTAATACAGGTGCACAATTCAATTGTGTAAATTTTTTTGTGTATTTAAAGGGGGTGGCAATCAAGCATGAGTACTTTCAGTGATGTGCCAATCGTTTACGTGGACAACTGGAGGTGGAGAAAATGTGTGTGCTTACGTAGCTGTGGACATTTAGGCTCTGACCCAACTTTTTTTGGCCATGGTCAATACTGCCTGCAAGGGAAACCATGGAAAAACCCGTCGTACCGCCGGTCGATAATGCAGGTTCCTATTGTACTCATCTATCATATTGACTAAATGGATACAGCAGATCGCTACATTCGTGGCTGCCAGCTGTAGTTCCACATGAGGAGGTTCCCGGACAGCCTTTCTGCCGATAAATTACCAGCAATTTGCCGCCAGTACCGGTAATGATTGTTGATAAATTACCAGGGAGTTACTAACATAATTGGACAGCAAAATGCCGACAATTTTAAGGAGTATTTCAAAATTCATAGCAAATTTAAGAGACAATGGAAACCGGATTCCAAGTTTTTCCGTCAGACGACTATTTAGCAAAACCCAAATTCTTACACAATAGATACCAATATTATTGATGATGTAAAAATTTGAGTTTTGCTAAATAGTCGTCTGATGACGAATAAACTTGGAATCCAATTTTTACTCCGACGGTAACTTCCATTGCCTTTTAAGAAGTAACGGTACCCCCGGAAGAATTGTAGCGGAGCTACCGTCCGCTAGATGGATGCATACCATCTGATAGCTGATATTAGCATAGATGCGATGATGCCAGTCGGTAGAGAATTCTAGGAAATTGTGGTGGGCGCCAGAGTGGGGACGCCGTGCGCTTACGGAAAATGGGGGAGTGGGGGTAGACCAGATCCAATTATTTGACTACCAAATGGCCCTTCGAAAATTCATCGGGAAACTGGGGGGTATCTTTTCCGCAACCTTTGCTGCCAATCGGTTGTAGCAGGTTTATTCATTTGTTTATTCATTTGCACCCATCCAAGTACTAACCAGACTAAATTCCGATCTGAACTCCCCAATTTTTTCAGTCAATTTTTTTTGTGAACTAATATTGAGAATTATTCTGGTTCCCCTCCTATCTACTCCAAGATCCTATCCAATAATCAATTATTGTTCTCATCTCCGTGATATTAATTAATTTAAGAAAGGTCAGGGGATATTGGCGAAATAATCACGACGATGATTAAATTGTCATAGTGCGACATTTCGCTAAATTATTTTAGTTTCATCAGGTTATGGAAAACAAAAATTGCAAACAAAAGTATAAACAAACAACTGCAAACCCTCGTTGTCATAACATAATTTACACAATTTAATGTCATAACACAATTTAATGAAAGTCGTAATTATTTCTCCATTATCCCCTGACCTTTCTTAAATCTATCCAACAATATCCTGTAACGTTACAAGATGTGGAACGCTATGTAAACTCCCGTTGTCTGCGAAAAATCTCCGTAATTTAAGAGAAGTAATGGAGATGGAATTTTTTCATTATTTTTCCCGTAATCCTGGCGAAAAATGGTATAGAAAACATATGGTAAATCGAGACGCCAAACGAATCCTAATCATGCCTATTATTGCGGAATATTTTTTATACCGTAATATAATGGTTCCGTACTATTTAGACCCGTAATCTATTGAATACATTTGACTTTTCTCAATATATAACACATGATAATCATTTCTAATGAGTATTTCTGAAAGAGAATGAAAGTGTTCACGGCTAGGTCGGAGAATGTATTAAGAAAATCACGATCCCATAATCAGTTGGAAATGAATGTCATATGTCTCGGATGTTGTCGTTCAGAAATCAAGGTTCCAAATGACTCCACATCCCATCGACGAATATTTGCAGCAGATTCCTTACAAACTGCAAAATATTTTCCCAATCTCCTCCTTAACGATGAATCGGCGAGTTGAAAAAATGTAGCCAATTTGATGAAAATTTTTGAGTACATTTATCGATATATTCCGTAGCCCTGTGCAAAGCTTCAGATTGCTACAGAGAACGGTTCAAATAAAATAAATTATTTATATAAACGCAATTTAACCCGTGTTCTCATGGCAAATGGAGAAATATTCACATCATGAACGTAAAAATGCTGCCAATGTCATGAAACTTCGTCCACCTGTGACATATTGATAAATACACTTTTTGCAAGAACAATGACATTTGTTCAGAATATTTTATAACCAAAATTAACAAAAGAACACTAAAAATCAGAATTTCTGCGCGCGCAGAAAAGTACTAAAAAGAGAAAAAAGAGAAAAAAAAGTTGGCAGCAGGAGACTTGCACTCGAGACCATCGAATCTATAGGCTGGGGTACTATTCTCGAGTTTAAGGTGAGCGCATTTGTGAACGGAAGTGGTTCCGTTCACGTATCGCGTTGAGGAAGGAAAGTTTTCGCAAACGAATCCTAGATCCACATGTGAATCAATTTTGTTGACGGATGTCGTTTTCGATTCATACGTGAGGATACCCGTATAAGGATACAGTTAACCTGTTCTGGGGAACGAAACATTAAACATTAATTGTTTAAATTTATTTATTATAGTTCAATTCTTTGTTTTACAATAAGTTGAAAAATGCATAATTTGCGGAGATACACCTATTACGATGTACTCCAAATGCAGAGTATCACGACGTGTGAAGTTCGCGACTTGAGAATCAGTGTGCGAATTGAAAATGACCTCCGTGAAGGAAGTTAATTCACCCGTGAAATGTCGATTTTCGAGATTAAAAAAAAAACAATAATTGCATTTTTTATTTCAATAACGCATGAGTAAACAGGGATATGAACGCAGATTTAATATAGGCCCATAGAATTACGGGGACCGGCAAGGATTTGGAAAGTCTGAATGCAAGTCCTGCTTACACCTAACAAGTGCTGAAATGGGACATAACCAGAGGTAGAAAGGTCTCGGAAGCACTTGGGAAGAGGCTTCCCAAGACCTATCCAGTTCTGAACGGAAAGACCTAAGTAGAACTTGTCAGGTCCAATTATTCGACTCGGGATATGAATCTAGTAGGGGAGGGTGGGCCTGTATCGCTCACCCGATTTTCTCCACAACTATCAACTTGAAAATTTCTTCCTGTTCCTGATCATGAAGAATTTAGTGATAGGATGTGATTGTCTAAAAAATTTCACTTTATTTACCACTTTAAATATGAAAAACACGTAACGATGTTTTGAGGTCTTTACAGTGCAAAATTTGTGGACTTTTAATTAAGGTTTTTGATAGTTTCAAACGCTGAATTCTCATATTAAACTGGTTATTCGATTCGTGGTACTTTCACGCGTAATTTGAGACCAATTCGAACTCAAAACTCCATTCATGTCAATAATTATCAACAATTTTGTTAACGCCGAGCGGAGAGGGTAATACCGCTCATAGGATCGGCCACGTAGTTGCTCGACAGCACTCGGGTACAGGTTAGGTTGCGGCGCGAGCGATACACGCAAAACCCTATGAGCGGCATTGGAATCGTGCCGAGCGGTATTATTCGACGGCGGGTAGTACCGCTCTTTTATTTTCAATCAATTTTGTGGATTCTAAGGAGAATTAGGCGTCCACACTTCGAGAATAACGAGTTCAATATTTAAAGAAGTCTCACAAATAAGTTTTTTATACTCAAGTTGAAATATAGAATATAAAACTGGCATTTCCCCTTAGGTGGGCGGTACAGGCATACCCTCCCCTAGAGAAGCTGCGAAATCGTTCAATAGAAGTTCAGTAGAAATCCAACAGAATTTCCCAGCGAATTCGCTACATTTCTTCATGAAATTTAGACGTCCACTTAATGATCATCATTATCAGATATCGCGCGATAGCGACATATAAGCATACTCGTAAAAGTAAAGTACCTATCAGTTTGAATTCCATGAATACACCACTCATTCTCAATTATAATACTAATCTTCACAGGACGTCGAATAAAACCAAGTGTAGACTATTCTGAGAAACTATTACTCTCATTCCGTTCTCCTTGTCAAGTGAATCTAGTCATCATTGATGTTGGAAAATCGCCAGTGCTGAATAGTTTTCCCAATCAGACATGGATTTATTCTCTTGTATCGTGTTATTGGTATTGATTCCAGTGGCGATTCTGGTGTTAATAAATGTATGTCTGCATCGCACTCGAATAGGTCAATATGTCGATAAGATTCCTGGACCCAAAGGATATCCCATCATCGGCAATCTTCTGGATTTCATGGTCGAAAGCGGTAAATTTTGAATTATCATCATCAGAAGTATCATCGAGGTGATCTTGCACTCAGTAGAATTGTTTATTTGAATCAAATAAAATGCATTTCATTCAAATCAATCATTTTTTAGCAAAGCCGTGAAACGGTTCAAGTCGACGGCCAGTTGTCAGTAAATATCTCAAAATCTAAGGGAAATAGCAAAATTTTGGTGATAACCGTTTTGGTAGAGCAAATCGAGGACTACAAAAAAGGTTATGATGAAAATTTCGTTATCTCTCTTAAATTCTGAGATATTCCTCGAAAACTCAGCTAAGGACTAAATCGACGTAAACTGTTGGACAGTAGATTCCCGTTATATTCGCATTTCCCCTCACATTGATTTTTCGTCACTCGGCCGCTTTCCCCACTCTACTACCCACGGGCCCCGAACTAAACATTCCAGTGTTCTCTTCAAAGAGCCGTTGTCTCTCAATTCCAGGAAAACCGAAAAATAAAATACTCTAAATATGAATTTTCTATCATGAAATCCAGTTCCTGCTAGACTGTCGTGGAGAAAGGTTTTCGTTTTGTTGGGATGACTTGAATTAGATCATGAGTCAGAATAAAGAAAGTAAAAGCATGATTGCCGACAAAAAAGTTGAAGAAAAGAGAATTTAGGTGAATCTTACATCTTAAACAAGTATTTTGCAGTGATAAATAGTGGAGAGAAAATTAATAATTTATATGAGTTGAGATCACTCAACAGTGATCCACTCTCAACTCATTATATAGATGATTTATGTTCTCTCCACGAAAAACCAAAACTACTTTGATAAGAACAAAAGTTTCTAGATAAAAAAAATCGGTTGATTATAGAAAAAAAGTTGATTAAACGTATATTGAAATGTTAACGTCATGATTAAAATTACTTGATAAAGCGTTAAATGCAATAAAACGAAAATTAAATCCTCAGTACTTTTATTTTATGACTCACAGTTCTCAGAAATCTCGCCCCGCGTGAGCGCGTAGTGGGGGTAGCGGAATACAGTCGCATTCTCCGAATTCACTCCCCTATTTCCCCATGAGTGCGACAATAGCGGGAGTCTATAAGGAAAAAATGATGTTCTGCAAAATAAAAGTCAGATATTATCTTAAATTTTCGTGGTGAAATTTCAGACGAAATGTTTCTGAAAATGAGAAAACTCAGTGAACAATTTTATCCCACATATAAATACTGGATTTTACATCGGCCGGTGGTGAATATTCGGCACCCGGATGATCTTGAGGTTGATATTTAATTTAAAAAATTCTACTTCATCTGCTAGGAATTTGAATCAATTATTTTTCTCATAATTTTATTTTCACAGGCGGTACTATCTAATCCCAGAGGAATTGAAAAATCTTCACATTTCCGCCTCCTGAAACCCTGGTTCAAAGGTGGCCTGTTGATAAGCGAAGGTATCTCCATGAAATTATGATTACTCTGATTATTTCGGTCAGATTATTACTTGATAATAACCATTATGATGACATCATTAATGAAATAACCTATAGGGCCAGAAATTTGAGTGTGTGTAGTACCTACGCGCTACGAAAGTGGAACTTCATATTGAAAAATAGATTTTGGTATTTAGATATACCGACGTCCAGTGATCGCGGTCGTTAAATTGTAAGTTTGACTTGACGACTCGACGGTCGTGGGTTCGAATCCCAGCCGGGGTGGAATTTTAACTTCTGATCACAGGGGTTAGGGCCCGAGTAGAAATTTCACTCAGTTAGCTTGGATCTAGATCAGTTTCAGGTTCAATACTGAACACAATTTATTGATTAGACTTTCGAATCAGGATCTGATGAGATTCTGAATGGAATATCTGGATCCAATGCGGCGAGGTGAATTGTGATCCTATTCTGATCAGTCAAATCTCGACTAGATCCGTATCGGATCCGCTACTGTTCAGAAAGATCGGAGCCTAGAATTTTAACCAGGCATGGATCCAAACAAGCGTTCCATTTCTGATCCAAAACTGATCACATTCCGTTTTTACTGGTCAGTCTCTTATTCTATCCTGATTTTAATTTCCACTCGGGGGGTTCCACTGAGTGGCTGGGGTTCGGATCTCGGCTGGCAGGGCCCTTAACTACTGTGAAGGGGTTAAGGGCCTACCTGGGCCGGGCTCTGCTTATCAGGGCTCGGCCTATCTCGGCTCTGGGCGAGCGGGAGGTTGCTAATAGAGTAACCGACTGTACCGACATGGGTTTTCTCTAGTTTCCCATGTCTCTTCAGTGACGAGGAGTGAATACGGTACAGCGCACAAAGTCGGCCACGGCCGCAGTGATAGATAGGGAGCTAGGACCGGGGCTACGATGGTATCAATCCTTACGGATTGATACGAGCACCTCCGCTCCAGGGTACCCGAGTGGAAATTCTGTTCAGGTCTCGATCAGAAACTGATCAAGTCCGATCCGAAATTCTGATCAGGCATGTTACGCCTCCACCTTATGTTTTTCCACTAGGGGTTCTCCACCTACCATCATTAGGCATTAATTAAATTTAATTTTTTGAGAGAAAAAATTAGTAACTTCCTAGCCGGGAATCGAACCCGGGACCTCCCAATGTCGGGTCGGGTGCTCTTACGGGTGCATCTGAGCTACAAGGACACTTACGAATTTCATTCTGAAATTGACTCATACCCGAGTGGAAATTCTGTTCAGGTTTCGATCAGAAACTGATCAAGTCCGATGCGAAATTCTGATCAGGCATGTTACGCCTCCACCTTATGTTTTTCCACTAGGGTACGTGTCCTGCTGAAAACCCATCGACAACTCCCATCGCTGATAAACTTACGTAAAGTAGGTATAAGTAAGGCGACGTTAAAAAAAAATATTCAGATATCAAGCAGTTCAGTAGCGACGCGATAAAACGATTCAAGTCGACTTAGTTCATCGCGGAATTATCGAGAAATATTTCTGAATCTAAGAGAGATAAAGAAATTTTCGTGATAACCTTTTTTTGTAGAGCGAATGTCAAACTAAATTCATTGTCGTATTCTGACAGATGTAGTGAGAGAATACGAGAGATCAGATGACGACAAAAAGGTTGATTATGAAATTATAATTACACCTATTATTTTCTGCTTATTTATGTTGACCATTAGAATGCAGTTATTTTCAAAAATTCATTGCAAATTAAAAGAGATGTTATATTACAGCCCATTGATAATCGACCATTTTCAGGTGACAAATGGCGCAGCCGAAGGAAGATGTTGAACTTCGCATTCGTCAACAGTCTCCTCCAGGAATATGTGGGGACTTTTGCAGAGCAAACTAATCGTCTTTTGAACTCGCTTAAAGCTGAGGCAAGTGCACAGGGCGGACATGCTGTCAAGGATGTTGAGAAGATGTTCTCGAGGCTCTCACTCAACATCATATGTGGTGATTAGTAATTTTGAATTATTTTCAGCGGCAGAAGTCTCACAATTTCTGTACTTGTAGAAACGATAATGGGAATATCTCTGGATGACAAAGATCGAGATCAATACGCCTACATCAATGCGATCCTCGTAGCTGCACAAACTTATCAGTACAGGTATTTTCTTCATCCATCATTTCATTGTCGTCAGTAATTCGGCCATGAATCTTAGATTAAGAGATTTTCCTCAAATATCATGCATGGATTATGAAAACACAAATAGTTTGACTACAGCTCTACTGAGTCATCTTATTCATTTCAGATTCATGAGACCCTGGTTATCGAATGATCGAGTTTTCTCACTCACTAAAATGGGACAAAAGCTACAACAGGATGTAAAAGTAATACACGGATTTTCAGAGAAGATTATTCAAGTGAGAAAAGATTACCATGAACTGAACGGCTGGAAATATTTGGATGGATTATCGGCGGGAAATGCACGAAAAGGATTCGACGACACGGGAAGTACGGAAAAGTTTTGATTCGATTGATTAAATCGGCCCCAGTGGAAAAACCTCGCCACTCAATGGATTTGGGAGGAAAATACATTCCATTTCCAAATCCATTCGATTGGGGGAATTGTTCTGGAGTTAGCGTACTGCGCAGGGCGCTCACCGTAGTGTGCTTGTGCAATCGACGCAGTAGACTGCGCAGTAGTCTCACGAGTGAATTCACTCAATCTCAGGGCCTAGGAACACGGAAAGTTGAGGGGCAACGGATTTTTTTAAGGCCCCAAGTACTACTAACTACTCAGATATCTCATTATCACAATTATTCGCAGAAAACCGTCAAAGACTTGCGCTTCTCGACCTTTTGATCGCTGCATGGAAAGCCTCCGCAATTGATGATGAGGGCATTCACGAAGAAGTTGATATGTTCGTGGCTGCTGTGAGTAAAAGATTTTAAATGCAGAGGGTTTAAACAGCTTAGATGAAAGATGGACTCGCAAGGGAATTGAAAAAAAATGTTTTGATAAAAATTGTTTCAACCACGGAAATCATAGAGATTCCAAGCTTCGTAATACTGCTCCATTTGTAGCGTCAGTGTAATAAATTGATATTCTCATTTTTAAGGGTCATGATACTACAGGCGCAGCACTGAGTTTTATAGCATTAGCTCTTGCAGCGCATAAGGACGTCCAGGTAAGCTGATCTAATAGACGTGGAGTCAATTGATTGATTTGCTTCTCATATTCAAACATTGATTTTCCCGACAGGACAAATGTCGGGAAGAAGTCAATGAAGTATTAAACGGAATTCCACCGCGGAAAATTACCATTAGTGAAGTCAAGAGCATGCATTACCTACAACAGTGCATCAAAGAGTCCATGCGACTGTATACTGTGGCTCCTCTAATAGGTCGAAAGATACTCGAGGACACGAAACTAAGTATAATCCTAGCCATCAATTAAAATGATGTATTATAATGAGTCTTAGTAGTTCAATGATCAATGATAATTGTATTATTTCAGAGGATTATTTCCTTCCTCGAGGCACTGAGGTTAATATTCACATATACGATGTTCATCGAGATCCTAATTTCTGGCCTAATCCAAATGTCTTCGATCCTGATAGATTTTCACCGGAGAGATCTAAAGGCAGACATCCTTATTCCTTCCTACCCTTCGGTCTTGGACCCAGGGATTGTGTTGGTAATGATCTTAATCTTCTGATTGTATGCCCCTGACATTATTCTCGCCCGTTTTCAAAAATAATTTTTCATTTATAAAATATAAAAATTCAACGTTGGGGTAATGTTGGCTGTCAACTTTAGCACAATGTTCATTCTCAACATTCACCAATATTCAGGGAATGGTAAAACATTTTAACGTTGGGGTAATCTTGACTGTCAACGTTAGGTCAATGTTAACTACCAACGTTGGCACAATGTTGGCCGCCAATGTTAGCACAATGTTCATTCATCATTAACCAATAGTCAGGGGAAGGTCAAAAATTTTTACGTCAAGGTAATATTGGCTGCTGACGTTGGGGCAATGTTGGCTACCAATGTTGGGGTAATGTTGACTGCCAGTGTTGAGGTAAAGCTGGCTGACACTGTTAGCTACCTACGTTTGTCACATTAAATGATATGTTGTTATTTTTGTCACTGTTTTCTCTCATTTTAGGGGCCAAATTTGCCATGCTGGAAATGAGAACTATTTTGGCCCTACTTCTCACCAATTTCTACTTTGAACCCGTGGAGTCACTTCGTGATGCACACTTTTTCACGGATTTACTCGTCAGATTTCGTGATCCAATGCACGTGAAATTTGTTCCAATTGTTAAATAAATTATCATCAAATTGTAATGTGATTGTCCATAGTGATAAATGGAAAATGATCGTCCAAATAAATGAAACTTTCCAGTAATTTTTCTATGCAGCAAATGGTACATAAGGTACATTATTCGGGAAGTCAATAATTTTTTGAATGCTCTCTATATAAAAGATGCCTCTTTTGCCGCTCCCTCATGCCGTAAATCTCCACCTCTAACTATTAAATATTGATTTTCATCCATTCCTTTACACATTTATTTATTGAGGTGAATAATTGTTTTATCATTCATTTCAACTAGTGATGGGGTTTGAAATGGGTGAAAAATATACGAGTAAGGACATTTTCAATGCAAATTTATACATGGCTGTGAATATAATTTATGGAGTGAGAAAAATGCATCGAGTTGAAACGAATATATGTACGTAATCAAGATGCGGATCCTAAAATCAATTTTAGATACATGGCATAATTTCACACATATTTACATATTTTCCCACCCATATCTGCGTTACCATGAGCCGTCTTACTCTTTACCCAACTTGCACCTTATTCAGGCTAGGATTGCAAGGGAAACCATGGAAAACCCCCAGTCGTACCGCCGGTCGATAATGCAAGTTCCTATTGTGCCCATCTATCATATTGACTAAATGGGTACAGTAGATCTCTACATTCATGCCTGCCGGCAGCAGTTTCACACAAGAAGATACCCCAATAGCCTTTTGCCGATAAATTGCGAGCAATTTGCCGCCAATGCAGACAATGATTGTTGATAAATTACCAGGGAGTTACTGACGCAAATGGACAGCAAAATCGTAAAGAATGTTTATAATATTCCTCAGCTATTGAAAAAAATCCTAACTACCCGGGGACGAAAAATTAAACGGGCCAAGATTGGACTAGTACAAGGAACCGATCTGCCGACTTTTGGGTGCCGATCCTCGACCGGTTATAGCCCAGTCTTGACTAGCTATTGGTTTGATAATGTTGGGCCGATATTGCTTGCCAAGCGTCGACTGATAATTGGCACCCGTGAAATACCCAATACTTATTCCTAACAGTTGAAAAAATTCATTAAGACATTCTTTTTTTTATTATTTAATTTACATTCTTCGGCTGATCCTTCGTACAGAGGCCGATAACTTCTGATAATGATGAGTAAAAAAATGGACTCGTCGGGATTCGATCCTGGAACCTTCGAGTTGCTAGTCCTTGACATTACTCACTTTTTTTTAAAAATACGTTTATTTAGCCAAATGTTTTGCATATTGTTAATAACATTGTTGTTTTTATAGTCTACGGAAAAAACATGAGAAAACGTAGATTAAATAATAAAGAGGGAAGAGGAGAATACATCCGGGCTTTACACGCTTCGCATCTCAGGAATATTTATATAAATAAGTAGTAATGAATCTTGTATTTTTGAATGTTTAATGAAAGCTCCATTTGTCGGTTGTTTATTGTGAACGATATAGGGCATCCATAAGTAAGTATGGGCCTAACTAGTGCTTGGTAGCATATTATTTTAATTCTTATATGTAGGTGTTTATTTTTGAATAATTTTAAACAAGCTTTAAAAGCGTTGTTCGCTTTGTTTAGTTGAGTTTGTACATGTTTTTTAAAGTTTAACTTATTGTCAAAATAAATACCTAAATATCTAACAACATTTTGATGAGGAATATCGATGCCAGATCCATCTCGTTTTTCATTAAGTTTGAAGTTTTTCCAGTTTTTACGAACGTTAGTGCTCGCTGAACTGATGCTGGGAGTGAACAGTTAACAATTGTAATAATAATTGTTAATTTTGTTGTAGATGTCTTGAAGGTTTGTTTGAACTTCGGTTACTTTTTCTCCCAAGCAGTAAATTAGTAAGGCGTCGGCGAAAGCTGGTGCTTTTTTGTCTGCAGAATTATTAAGGTCAAAGAGATTCATTAAATCACTAGTGTATAAGTTGAATAAAATAGGTGAATTGACGGTTCCTTGTTCAGTCCATTTCTGACCAGTGACATTACTCACTGGTCCACCATAGAATTGTTAGTTACAAAATAATTTATCGGCTATATGAATGAAGTAAATGTGTTCTTATTTGACTCGAATAGTTATTGTTGCCTTCGTCAACAACATATCGATGGCTCCTAGAGAAAACTACGTAACTCAGAAAATATTTCCGAACTCAAGTATCTCAGAGGAAATTTAAAAATACGTAATTCAGTAACTCCGATTAAATACCGTCTAAGTCGCTGGATACCTTTATCATTTTTATTTTAATTCTTCGGATAGAGTTTCTGTGGATATTTTCATATACCTCTTTGCTTGGGAAATATTTCATACCAGTCTGTTGTCAGAAGATCAAACGTCTTATGGCTTTGACAAATGGTCTTTGACCATTTGTAGCACTTTGACAAATATCTTGAGACAAATGGTTTTGGAAATGTTTTCTAAGTTACGTAGTTTCCTTCAGGAGTTATCGATATGAGGATAGAAGAACTCAACTTATGAGAATGCAATAAATTGAGTCATTTACCATTTCTTCCGGAAATCCATAGGGACTAACTTTTGGGTGGTATTCAACCAACTCCAATTGTTCTGGAACAATTTGAAGGCAGGATTAACCGCCAGAGCATGCCAACGTCCTTAACGTTCTTATCTTATTCATTAATATTTATTTTCTGTCTACTTCAGGCAAATGAGTCTGATATCAGAATGAGTAAAGTGAAAGGTGGCCGCGAAGTTGATAGCACTGCTATCAACTTCAAAGCATAATTCCCACGCTTTTTTAGTGGCCACGACAAGAAAAATTGCGTCATAGGCCGACAAACAGGAGGTATTCGTCTCATACTAAACTTCTTCGGGGGTGCGAGACAAATTTTAAATAAGTGGAAAGTTACTTTCGTCGCAACATAGTCAATACATTTTTGCTAATAAATTAGCAATTTATTTCCAAATGGAATTCATAACGTCAAGTGTTCATCATTCTTCTGTAATTACAATAATAATCTCCATGATGCGTTGCATTAATTCGAGGTATATAATAAATAAAATGTGAAAAAAAATGGTTGCTCTCATTCTGAAGTAATCAATGATTGCATTACGAGCTCTGCTTCAATTAGTTCATCACTGCTACGCAAAATCATCGCTGCTGAAAGTTTAAATCATCAAAAGATGGATTTATTTTCTTGTATCTTGACATTTGGATTGGCTCTAACGGCGATTCTGTTGGTAATTGATTTTTGTCTGCATCGCAGTCGAATAGGTCGAAGGGTCGCTGAAATTCCGGGACCCAGGGGATTCCCCATCATTGGTAACCTTCTGGATTTTGCAGTGCCATATGGTAAATTTTTCGTTATTATCATCAAACGTATTTTCAAAGTGATTAAATAGTTTTTTTTTATAATTTTGCTTCCGAATTGAAACATTGTATTCGTCACATCAGAAATTTCCGTTCTTATGAATGTATTCAATTTTAATTTAAAATATTCTTCCCAATGCCATCTTGACCGAGTTCGATGATGAGATTGATTGCATCATCTGTCGAAAAAATTTATTTTGAAACCAATATTCAGGAAAAGGGAAAAAATTCTAACAATGTGAAATACATGGTCATAGAAATCCCATTCGGAAGCAAATTGCCTGATGAGCAAAAATATATTGACTATGCTGTAACGAAAGCAATTTTTCACTTTCTTAATCATTTTTCTCCCATCATGAGCCCCATTTATTTTGTTTCTCAATTAGGCAAAGTTATTTCCTGCGAGATAATAATTTTACTTTGTTGTGCTTCTTCGTCCTAAAATTTCAGACGAAATATTTCTCCGCTTGCGAAAATTTGGAAAGGAGTTTTATCCTACGTATAAATACTGGATTTTGCACCGACCTCTGGTGAATATTCGGCATCCGGATGATATCCAGGTGAATTCTGAATTTTATTCCCTTCCCTTCACAATAAAAAAATGTAACGTTTTTTGTTACCCTTTTTTACGGCACAGCTTAGCTTATCGTATGAAGAATATATGAGGTATTCCACGCCAAATGAAAAAAACCGTTGACTCTCACTCTCTTGGAAATTGATGGCGATTTTTTCTACGATTGAGGGGATTGAAAAACTCTCTCTCAAATTTTGTCAGCTGCCCAATTTGGAAATATGATTTTTTTCTCGCTTTTCCGTTTTTTTTCAATAACTTGAGTTCTATCCATCCGATATTGATTTATTAAGTGTCAAAATTTTCTATTTTTTACTGCCTATAAGAATAATTTTAGTAAAAAATTTGTTTCAATCTTTGGATGTTCATAATAACGAATTTTCGAAAAAAAAGTTGAAAAAGTTGAATTTTAAAAAATTATGGCACTTGTGATTTGTTTCATTTTTTTGTCAGTAGTTCTTATAATCAAAACAAGTATTTTGAGCCGGCATACAAGTTGGGGATCCTCCTGAATATATTTTATTTTCAATTTTTTCTAATCGTAGAACGATTGGAAAAACTTTGTATCGCTCATTTCGCTGGGCGGTCTTCGCGGTGAAATTGGAACCCTCGAGGATTGTTCAGCGATCTCATGAACGAGTACAAAAAATGAAATAATAATAATAATATACCTCTGATATATATAATAAAGACATTTGATATTCAACGTAGATTACTTTATAAAATACTTCATCCAACTAACTTGTGTTTCATGACTTGCTGTTTGAAGATTATACTGTCCAGCCCCATAAATATTGAAAAAACTCAACACTCAGATCTCCTGCGACCCTGGGTAAAGGAGGGTCTGTTGATAAGTAAAGGTATTGGTCTATTCATCATCACAATATTGTAATTACAGTGATTATTTTCTGTATCATTTATTCTGAGCAATCAGAGTGCACCATTCGAGATCACGTATTACAAGGAAATTGAGATAATTCAAGAGCTATTGACGTGACATAGTCTCGATGAGGGGAAGATTGAAAAATTCTGGTGACTTAGCATAAAATTGTATTTGAATACTCCGATTTCCAAATACACATGTGAAAAACTATTTTTTTCTCCAAAAAACAAACAAATATTACAGCCAATTCGATGGCTCCTAGAGGAAACTACGTACCTCAGAAAACATTTTCAGACTCAGGTATCTCAAGAATATTGACTGAAACTTTGTATGTCAGAGAAGATGACAGAAACCAAGTATCTCAGAGAAAATTCAAAGATACATAACTTAGTAACTCCGATTGAATACCGTCTAATGCGCTCGATGTCTTCATCATTTTGATTTTAATTCCTCGGATAGAGTTAATATGGATATCTTCATATACTTCTTTGTTTGGGGAATATTTCATACCGATCGTCAGTGGTCAGAAAACCAAACCTCTTATGGCATTGCGAATATTCAATCAATTTAGTAATTAGGGGAGGGTGTGCCTGTACCGCTCAGCGGGTAATACCGCTCACCCGATTTTCTCCACAACCATCAACTTGAAAATTTCTTCCTGTTTCTGATCATGAAGAATTTGATGACAGGATGTGATTGTCGGAAAAATTTCACTATATTTACCACTTTAAATATGAAAAAACCGTAAGGAAGTTTTGAGGTCTTTACAGTGCAAAATTTGTGGACTTTTGATAAAGGTTTTTGATAGTTTCAAGCGCTGAATTCTCATATTAAACTATGGTTATTCGATTCGTGGTACTTTCGTGCGTAATTTGAGACAAGTGGTTTTGGAAATGTTTTCTGACTTATGTAGTTACCTTTAGGAGCCATCGAACTGACGATCAACAATTTCTAGGAAAAAAATGGCAAGACCGAAGGAAGATGGTGAATCACGCGTTTACCTACAATCTTCTCGAGGAATTCGTGGAGACATTTGTTGAGCAAACTTCTAGACTCCTGGCGACTCTGAAAGTTGAGGCAAATGTACAAGGCGGAGAAGTTGTCAAGGAAGTTGAACCGATTTTTTCGAGACTCTCGTTCAACATCATATGTGGTAACTACTCTTGAAGTAATTAGCAGTCAGCAAGGAAAAGCAAACGTGGATTCAAATGATAATTGTATTTTCATGAAGTCTACATGTTAATACATTCACCTCATCGTTCTGTTTTGTTCAACAATTATTTTTTTCCATTTCTAAGCAATAGGAATCGTGAAATTTCTTTATTTTTAGAAACAGCAATGGGAATAGTTCTGGATGACAAAGATCGAGAGCAATACGACTACCTCAATGCGATCCGCGCACTTGCAGGAATATTCCAATTCAGGTATTTTCCTTATGTATCATTCATAATTGTGATGATCCAACGAAGGAGAGAGGCGGTTCAAGAGGTAATCTCTCCATACCATTTGACCCTCTCGTGTTGAGATTTAGAATGGTTCTCTTGTCCACAATTATTAATTTTTGAAAACCAAAAAAACTTTCGTCTCCGCGAAATCGCGAAAATTTTGGTTCCTCAATGGGTTGAGGTGTTTTCTTCCATGCCATTCATTGCAGATTGACGAGACCCTGGTTGGCGAACGACTGGATTTTCTCATTAACAAAGAAGAGCAAAGAGCAAGCAAAGGCCCTAGGAAAAATCCATACATTTTCAAAGAAGATAATTGAAGCAAGAAAAAATTACCACCGCATGAACGGATGGCAATTTTTGAATGAACCATCGAAAAAAACAGGAAGAGAAACCGATGATACCGCTATCAACGGCAAGAGAAGTACGAATTTTTTTTTAGTCCATTGGTTACATCCGCCCTAGTGCAAAGATCTGGTTAAGTTGAAATTGAAATTTAGACTTGTCTCAAGGAGGGAGACGGTGGAAACCACAATCGTTGAGGCATCGTTGAGAAATCACGAAGTTCACAGTAGACGTTAAATCGCGATGTTAACATCATTGTGGCTAGTCGTAGTTGAAATTAAAATTCAAATGAATGAGTTTGAAAGAAAAAAAATTTCTATTTGCCAAATTTCCTGCAAGCGCGGACATTACCCTACACGCAGCGCACTGCACAGGACGCTGACCGTAGGGCGCATGCGTCAACGGCGCAGTAGCCTGCGCAGTAGCGTCACGAGTAAATCCAGTCAATCCAGAAGCGTGGGGTTACGAAAAGCTAGAGACAGCTTAGAATGAGGGATTGATTCTTCCAAGCTGAGAGCCAGTCAGGCTCTTAAAGAAGAAGTGATCAGATGTACTCAGATATGTCATTATCACAATTATTCACAGGAAATCATGGGAAACTTGCGCTACTCGATCTTCTTATCGCCACATGGAAGACTTCCGGCATCGACGATCAGGGTATCCAAGAGGAAGTTGATATGTTCGTGGCTGCTGTGAGTAAAATATTTTCTATAGAGAGGGATGAAATAGCTTAGATCAAGTATGAATCCTGTACGAATGAATGGAATATGTTAAAAAACGGATATTTTACGACGAAAGATCGTTTTTACAACAAATTATGGAGATGCTAATTCTTCACACGTATTCTTTGGTTCCAACTTCAAACTAATCCATCTAAATCCTTACTTTTAAGGGTTATGATACTACATCCACAGCACTGAGTTTCGCAACATTAGTTCTTGCAGAACATAGAGACATCCAGGTAAACTAGCTCAATCCGGAACGAGTCAATTAATTGATTTGCTTCACATATTCATTTCTTATATCCAAAAATTGATGTTCTCGGAAGGAAAAATGTCGGAAAGAGATCAATGAAGTTTTGAACGGAACTCCAGTGGAAAAAATCACAATGAAAGAAGTTCAGAAGATGAAATACTTGCAACAATGCATCAAAGAGGCCATGCGTCTGTATGGTGTGACTCCTCTCATAGGGCGAAAGCTGTCGGAGGACGTGCAACTAAGTATTTTCCTCACACGCTCATTTCAATTCCTCATTTCAATGACATTCTAACGACAATCGTATCACTTTAGAAAATCATTTCCTCCCTCGAGGAACTGAGGTCGCCATTCACCTATACGATGCACATCGAGATCCTCATTTCTGGTCTGAGCCAAATGTCTTCAATCCTGATAGATTTTCACCGGAAGGATCTAAAGGCAGACATCCTTATTCGTATTTGCCCTTCAGTATTGGACCGAGGGATTGTATTGGTAATACACGTAATCTTGTAATTGTGTGCTCCTGACATTCTTCTGGTATTATAATTGGAGGGCATTCGTTATAATATCACTAATCGAGATATCCAATCGATTGATTTTCAGGCAAAAAATTTGCAATGCTGGAACTGAAAGTCGTCATAGCGGGGCTCATTTCGAATTTCTATCTCGAACCAGTGGATGTAATTGGTGATAAGCGCTTCATCATGGATTTCATCATGAGATGTAGCGAACCAATGCACGTGAAGCTAGTTCCCATAACTAAATGAATTATCATGAAATCGCATTGAACAGTTCGATTATTTCAATAGAATAAAAATTTTTGCGAAACGATTGCTTTGTCATGCCATGATTGGGTCACTTAAACAAAAAGTTCATCCCTCCGATTAAAGGATGAAATCTGTCAATTGGAAAATTCTTTGAAACTCGTATTTAATATCCAAATAAATTAAATCTATCAAATATTATATTTTTTATTTCAAAACAACAATAAACCAAATTTTAGAATAACCTGAGTGAAATTATTTGTAACTCAGGAGTATTTTTTAAATCCCTCCCCGCGCTATTTTCAATCATCTAGATATGGCGGATAATGGTGGATGAATACCTGCACTTGTTGTTATTTATTCCACACATAAAAGAATGAATAAATCCCGGAAAACGAAGTCAAGCGACAATTCTACATTATTATTCTATTTCTGACGTGGATACGTCTATGGTTTCAATACGGGGGGTCATTTTGGGAAACGGTCCGTATGTGCAGCGCCATCTATCGGATTTCTAGAAAATTCTAGACATTTCGAGGTAATTCGAGAAGTTTCTTGAAATTTCGAGAAAGTTCGAGAGAATTCAAGGAGTTTCCAGAAAATTCGAGGAAATGCAAGGAGTTTGTAGGGAATTCGAGACAGAAGGAAAAACCACGTCGTGCCGGGAGACAAATAATCTTTTCAGATAGTGTCGCCGTACATGGTGAGGGCGCCCAAATCTGAAAAGACTATCTGCTTCCCGGCGCGATGATTAAATAGCCGACCGCCAGCTCGTTCCGACCTTCATAATTCGCCAATTCTCATCAGATCATAACGAAAGTGCAATTGAAAAATAGAATAATAATCTAGAATTGTCGCTTGACTTCGTTTTCCGGGATTTTTTCATTCTTTTGTGTGTGGAATAAATAACAACAAGTGCAGGTCTTCATCCAACATTATCCGCCATATCTAGATGATTGGAAATAGCGGGGGGTGGGGTAAAGGGGATGCTGCAACCTTAAATAAGAAACGAGAAGAATGTACGGAATATGCATCTGAAGCATGTCCAATATTGAAGATGAAGCATTTATGAGTTCATCAATTCATCAAGCTAACGACACTATCTTTCTTAAATGATAAAGATTCAATGCGGCAGATGCAACTGCAAAAACTGATGAGCATGACAATATATTTTTCTTCGCTCCTCCATCGGAGATCACGACCGCGCATTTCCCATATCAGCGGGGAGATTTCTCACTCATAAAAATGTTCAACATTTCGCTCGTCTGTAAAAAGTGAACCAGTTGGTGTCTGAGTGCAAGGGCAACAAGTTGCCGCTGTAATCGTTCCATTGAGAATGGCTACATTGATACTTCTAGCCATTGCCTTTATCCCATTACTAATTCCACGAGTAATCAGATTGGTGAAGTTTTTGATACAGAGGTGGCGGATTAATAGAATCATCAGTGTCATTCCTGGACCACCGTCGGTTGCGCCTTTCATTGGAAATACGCTTGAGTTTGTTGTCAGTCCAGGTGATGATTATTGTCATTTGTTCTCGAGATAATAAATTTGTATTTTTGGAGGGTGAAAAATTAATGAAGGGGAGGACGTGGCCAACAGGAAATGTCACACGACGACAGGGGAAATGTTCTTTTCCTTAATTGTTTGCCGAATTTGTATTTGTTTGTTTTATTCATCTCGGATAATATGGTGGGATAATATTCATTGACGCCAATTCAAATTATTTTTTTTCACAGAGATTCTAAAAAATTGCAATTTTTCAAAAAATTGAGTTTTCAACGATCACTCAAAAAATTGTCATCAAAATGGAATTAGTCATGGCTCAAAAAATTGATAATACCCTCTTGATTCTATCAGAATATAATGGGGGTCGCACAATTCGTTGTTAAGTTACAGCACAGTGTTTATGCGATTGGGAAGAGAAAATCGGTTTTCTCATGGTTACTGAAAGAATCATCAGTGATAGCAATTAAATCAGAGCTTGGAAAGTATATTTCAATGCCTTCTTAATCAAGTTGAAAAATGATGAGATCAGCATCATTGCTTATCAAGTTACAGAATACCGTCATGAGCTTTTTACATCAAAATCTCTATCTCTATTAAACTCAGGTACAAGTCTATTATGCTGAATACTTGTTCATATTGATTCATGGTCTCGACTAACTTGTGACAGAACCTGCGTTAAACTCTGGCTAAATCCTGAATAAACCTTGACTGAACCTTGATTAAACCTGGACTGAACACGAATTCGCGTCTTGAGAGGGTCTGAATGTAGAATTATTTGACAGAACGAAATAATACGCAAAACTTTGATGACATTTCAATTGATGATAGTACTATTATAACATGAAAAAATAGTTTTATTATAATATATTATATTAATTATAATTTATTAGCAACAATTACTATACTCATTTTAAAAAAACGTCATTGTTCATTTGTTTTTGCGCAACTCAACGATTTAGGGAGTTTATCTGACCTGTCATTGGAAAAATATACAAGATAAAATTACTATCCGTCGGCAATAACTTTTATTTCGCCAATTGGTTTTGAGGGGATAATGACAAAGGTCACGAAATTATTGACAAATTGTTGATTGGAAAAGTTTCAGTATAACGAGTTGAATTTATCTGCTGGAACATTCTCCACTATCAGAGAAAAATTAATTCAGAGTTCATCGGAGATTGAGTAACACTCGAATTAAAAGATACAATATTGTAGAATTGTACATACAGAAAAATTTGAAAAATTTGAAAGAATGCGAGAAAAAGAAATTCGACAAGATGAAGAAATTTTGCAGAATTTTTTGCATAAAATTTGTACAAAAAAATGTTTTCACTATCTCCAGTTAATTTTTTTTCAACTAGAAAGAGCGTGAAATCCCATACATATAATTTTCTACTAGTCACAATACCCTATAATAACAATTATCAAGTCATTCTTCAGTTAAGCTATGGAAGGTGGTGCGTCGACTGAACGAAGAATACTATCCAATCTACAAAATAATAACACCACGGTGGGTGGCAGTCAACCTTCGTCATCCAGACGACGCAGAAGTATTTATCAACATTGTCTATATATACTTTGTTATTTACTTTTGTGTAATCTTAAACTTTCTTCGTAGCTCCTCTTATCGAGTCAGAAACACATCGCGAAAGGAGAGATCTACGGATTCCTACATCCCTGGTTCGGCACGGGATTGTTGACGAGTGCAGGCCAAAAATGGCAGACGAGACGAAAAATTCTGACTCCGGCGTTTCATTTCAGTGTACTACGAGAATTCGTTGAGGTCTTTGATCAGGAGGGCCGTCGTATGGTGGAGAATCTTCGATCGGTTGGCGGGGAGACCACTGTTGATCTTGTTACTTTTATCGCTAAGTATACGTTGAACACGATATGCGGTAAGATTGACTTTTTTTTATATAATAAAGATCGCGACCTATTTTTGGATCGCGCAAATGATGATCGCGAGACATCGAGGTGCAGGTCCGGACTTTTTTATGTTGCGTAAATATAGAAAGTGATTTTTTTTCATGCCAAGTAAATCAAGATCAGGAAACACCGCGATTTTTTTCAATATAAGAACGCGACCTGCATCTCGGTGTCATTCCCATAAATAAAGATTGCGATATACCGAGATGCAATTTCCATAAATGAAGATCGCGAGACACCGAGATGCAGATCGCGACTGTTTTCAACTTAAGAACGCGGCATTTTGGTATCTCGCGAATTTTATTTAATGAAAATCGCGAGACACCGAGATGCAGATCGCGACTGTTTTCAATGTAAGAACGCGGCATTTTGGTAGCTCGCGAACTTCATTTAATGAAGATCGCGAGACACCCAGGGGCTGCTCGCAACTTTTTTATATAAACGTGTATCGCGATGTCTCGCGACGCGTATCGCGATCTTCCTTTACGGGACGCAAGGTCGCGATATTTATCTATGTCGCGTAAATGAAGATCGCGAGACACCGAGATGCAGATCGCGACTGTTTTCAACTTAAGAACGCGGCATTTTGGTATCTCGCGAATTTTATTTAATGAAAATCGCGAGACACCGAGATGCAGATCGCGACTGTTTTCAATGTAAGAACGCGGCATTTTGGTAGCTCGCGAACTTCATTTAATGAAGATCGCGAGACACCCAGGGGCTGCTCGCAACTTTTTTATATAAACGTGTATCGCGATGTCTCGCGACGCGTATCGCGATCTTCCTTTACGGGACGCAAGGTCGCGATATTTATCTATGTCGCGTAAATGAAGATCGCGAGACACCGAGATGCAGATCGCGACTGTTTTCAACTTAAGAACGCGGCATTTTGGTATCTCGCGAATTTTATTTAATGAAAATCGCGAGACACCGAGATGCAGATCGCGACTGTTTTCAATGTAAGAACGCGGCATTTTGGTAGCTCGCGAACTTCATTTAATGAAGATCGCGAGACACCCAGGGGCTGCTCGCAACTTTTTTATATAAACGTGTATCGCGATGTCTCGCGACGCGTATCGCGATCTTCCTTTACGGGACGCAAGGTCGCGATATTTATCTATGTCGCGTAAATGAAGATCGCGAGATACCGAGATGCAGGTCGCGTACCTCATTTACGCGACATAAAAAAATGTCGCAACACGAATATAAATCGCCAGATGCATCAGGTCTGCATAAAGATCCGGGTCACGGCCTATTTTCAATCCCGTAAATGAAGATAATGATCTGAATATAGGACACCATCTAAATATGGGTTGTGACCTAAGGGCAGATCATCACTTCATTATGGTTCGCGAATTCAATGAAGATAGCCACCTGAATTTTTAGGTCGCGTAGACGAATAACGCGACACGAATATAAGTTTGTTTAAATCTAGCTCGCGACTCAAATATATTTCTGTACAAACAAGTTTCTGTCTCAAAGACGTTACTATCTCCACGAGATTCCAAGCTATTCCTTGAATACTCAGCATAAAGTTGACTTACCTTGTTTTCGCAATTAATCAATTAATTGAATGTTAATGTTCTCAGAAACCGCCATGGGCACTTCACTAGTCGGAATGGAGGCATCTTCCGAGAATTTTCAGAAAACCTACAGGAACGCTATACAAACGATGGGCCATGTACTCCTCCACAGGTATTTTCCTCAGATCAACATTTCAAATTATTGCGAAGATCACAGGAAAATGATTCATTTCAGACTGTTGCGCCCTTGGCTCCACCTTGACTTGATATTCTTCCTGACGAAATCCGGGAGAATTCACGACAAATGTCTCAGTATTATCCGTGGATTCTCAAAAAAGGTAAGTACCAACAGCTAAGCAATTTATCGCAGAGATCATTATGGAGTGATTAGATGCATATTTTCTCATTAATATTGAAACGACAATCACGGAGGGTCTATCACAAGGGTTCAAAGGGGTTCGAGCTTCGAAGGGTTGATGAGGGAATGATGAGGGGAGTTGTGATAGAATCACAAGCATTAAAAAAATGAAGAAGAATCCCAAGAAAGGGTCCATCTGAAGGGTTCAAGAGGTTCAAAAGGTTTCCACTGGGAGCAGAAAAAATGGAATTGAAATGCTCATACAGTCGACTCTCCTTAGCTCCCCACTTCTCTAGCTCTTCGGACATCACCGCGCGAGGAGAATATCGCCTCCCACTACGTGTGATGGCGCGCATGTGAGACAGCCTGAGATGGCTACAGCGTTCTCGCTCCAATAGTAGCAATGTCTCTGTCGTAAGACACGCCCCTTGCGCGTAGGGAAGTGGCAACCTCTATCTTTCTGTTCTTCGAATCTCGAGCCCCGAAAGTGGAGAGCTAGGGAGAGTCGAGTGTATCCCGGAAAAAAATCGAGAAAATGAAATCGATTAATTCTCAATTATTCTACACCTCATACATCAGATAATCAGAGAACGTCAGCAGTATCACGAAGAGACACACGGCGTTTTCTTGAAGCAGCTCCAGCAAGACAATTCCATATCAAAAATGGACTTTCAACAATCATCAAAAAAGCGACTTGCTATGCTTGACCTCTTGATAGCAGCGATGAAAATACACAGGAATATCGATGAGAACGGCATCTGGGAGGAAGTTGACACTTTTATGTTCGAGGTTGTGGATCAGAAACTGTTTCTACCTTAATTTCCTGATTTTCTCTCTTCAATTTTTTTCTAATTCCAGTGATTTTTTACATCTTATTCAGGGCCACGATACAACGGCCATGGGAATTTGCTTCACTCTCCTGCTACTCGCGGAGCACAAAGATTGTCAAGACATTGCTAGGAATGAGGTGGATGAGGTGATGAGGAATCGCGATGGAAAAATGGGAATCCACGAACAACAACACTTGCCTTATCTCGAGATGTGCATCAAGGAGGGCTTGAGGCTCTATCCGAGTGTGCCGTTTATTTCTAGAAATCTTGATGATGATTTGCACTTGAGTAAATACAAATTGTTTTCGATAAATCATTGACAAAAAGAGTTGAAATACGAATTTTCCCTACATCTTATTTTTTCAGAGATGAATCCATAATAATAAAAAATAATTATTGTCTTCGTCTTTCTACAGAGACGTTCACAATTCCCGCAGGAACGATGGCCCATCTTCACATATACGACCTCCACAGAGACCCAAACTTCTGGCCAGACCCAGAGCGTTTCGATCCGGACAGATTTCTCCCTGAGAACTGCATCGGTCGACATCCTTTTCAATACATTCCCTTCAGCGCTGGACCACGCAACTGCATCGGCCAGAAGTTTGCGCTGATGGAGCTGAAGACCCTCATAGGGTACCTCTTGCATAATTTTTACCTCGAACCTGTTGATCTTGCTGATGAGATCCCATTGTTGCCGGATCTTGTTATCCGACCACAGCACGCAGCTCGAGTGAAATTTGTGCCGAGATAAATCGATCAATTCGCGATCGCAACGAAGAAGAAGGAGCCGCCAAGTGGTCTCTAAACTAACTACTCTTGGGGGCCAACCAATGATATCCCTAGGGGAAACCAATGAATAATAAATATTGTTGGTTGCAACACGACAAAAAATGAAAAACCCCGAGGGATGGATAATGTTTGATCATAGATCATAGATCAAACATTATCTATCCCTCGAAAAAATAAAACATAATTTATAACTCCACTTATAAATTTATTTACTAGATAAATAAATCAGTGCTAAAAGCCTTCTCTTTTTTAGATATGCGAAGTGGTTTTTGGATATGTATTAATAGTATATTACGTGCTTCGGCATCGAGTGCTGAATTCAACGCTGGTGGAGTACAGGCGCACGAGGTACGTGAGTCGGAGACGAGGCCGCCGAAGGGCGTATACTATTTTTTATTGCGAAAAGCCCGTGGGGGTTGGGGGTGGGGGCGTGGAGCGGGGTCCAGGGGGCGCAGCCCCCGGCGGGGGGGGTTGGGGGGGGCGGAGCCCCCCCCACTGAAGAAAAAACAAATTGCAAAAGAAAAAAAAAATCAAATGCATTTAAATTTCCCCGCCACAGCCGGGGAACAACAACTCCAAGAGAAGCCAACAAATCACCATCATCTCTCTGTAATCGTATTCCCCAACCTGTGATCAACGACATCTCACCAATTCCACTTCATGATGTCTCACCAGATCCTGCTCCAAATCTACAGTTGAATCAACTTCTACGTTCCCATCCAAATATCAATCTCAATTTTTACAATTGCTCAAATTTTAAAGTATTTGATAAAGAAAATAAGGAAAATAAGTGAATCTCGAGATCTTAGTTGAGATAGATGGGCATAACTGATTGTTTTGTTAGATTTTATTATTTAAACTATGAGTATTATTCTTGCGTTTACGTTGTAGTTTATTTCAGAGTTTCAATAAAAAATTTTCTATGAAATGATATTTCTAATATTATTATTATCAAAATTAAGATTTTTTAATAATTTATTTTTCATTTTAATTTTCAGGTGTATTTTCAAATTTAAAATTTAACAATTTTGAAGATAATGAAGGGGATTCACTGGCTGAATTTATCAGTTTTTATATGTAGTTTTATATTTTGGTACATTAACGCTGGGTGGCGCCACACGTTTTTCAGTCCTAAGGAGTGCATTTCTCACTTTTTCACTCCTAAGTAGTGCATTTCTCACTTTTATACTGCTCAACGGTAAAAAGACCTACTTCTCATGCTTAACTACCGTCGGTAAAAGAGCCCTTTTTGGGCTTGAGCAATGAAAAAGATTTTTTTTGCCACTACCAAACACGAGTGTTAAGACACATTTTCAACTGTTAACCCTCTGACTCGCAAACCGTACGAAACCGTATCGGTCACGTGACCATTCCCTCACTCCTGTCGCGTCAGGACCGTTGTAAGCATTGCAACTCTATTGGGGCCCTCTACATATTCTCGCGTAATACGTAATAGAAGTTTTGATAGATAGACAACAAACAATGAGAGATAAAAGAGAAAAAATGCCAGTGATAAAGAATAAGAATAGTGCCTAAAAAATAAAAAAAGCATAAAAATTCATTGAGAAGTGTATGTGGGACTCCTGGTAAATACGTGAAACAAAGAAAGATATCTTAAAATTGTGAAATGAATCCAGATGAATTTTTAGCAAAGACAGAAAAAAATCATGAAAAACTAAAACGAAAATGGTCTTCAAATATTGAGATCTATCCAGCGCAAACATTTGTTGAAAATCGAGGTCCTGCTCATGATTTGGAGATTGACGGCAATGAGATGTGCTATTTCAAATTGCTTCTTTTCTTCCATAAATTTATTTCATTCTATCTACCAATGGATTCCTTTTAAGAATTTTTATATTTAGGACTCATATTCATACGTGCACTTGGTGCTACGGCACTGTTCGCGCGCTCGCTATTCATCCCCTTCCACATCGAACGTTCGGCCCCCATAGGGGGCCCATAGTGGGGATAACATTGCGAGTCAGTTTTTCACGTCTTTTTTTTTTAAAGAAATTTCTAATTTTTTTGTGCAAAATTGGACTGTCCCGTTTTACCCGCCCTATCCTCCCCTATTTTTTTGTCAACACTGTTTTTTTAGAGACCACTTGACTCCCTCATCCACATTGCGATCGCAAATAATGATGGCGGCATGAGCAACTCAACATAGGCGGACAGTCTTCTAAATCGGATGTCCCTGTAGCTTCCTGTGGCAACAACCTACATGGGAATCATAGAAATTTTTTTTTTTCGTTTTTTCTATGGAAATAGGAGACTACCAGCAGATTCACAACAGACTCTGTATTTCTCACAATTTTCTTTACATCAGACTAATTTTTAGCATTTTTTTCCATTTTTTTCTCACGTATCGAAAGCTTTCATCCATTAAAACGTTACATTGTTGGATTTTATTATTCAATTCATTCTCCTTCACTAACATACACACTCCATTCCCCGTGTGAATACATACGCTTACTGTCTATTTTCTAGCCCATCGGAAGTTTCGAACATTTTTAACAATATTTTTTTGCCCGAGTATTACAAAATTCACTGTACAAAATTAACAATCTCGTCCCACAAGATTCGATCGAATGATGAGTAATGAATGTGTGACGCATTCATGAACCCAAAAATCACATTATGAAGCCTTCACCGCACTTGATTCCTAGAAATTTCAATATTAAAAAAATCGACATTTCCTTTCTTCATTTTCCCACAGTGAATTAACAAAAGTGAATCACGAATTTATCCCCCCCCCCTCATTAAATTTTATCTACAAAAACTACAATCAAATATGGCTGTATCAAAAATAGAGAGCAAACGTTAAAGCAGTCCTTTGATCCTAATTAAATTCTCCCCACATCTCCGGCGACTCTAGAACACTGAAATATCAGTTTAACAATATTTGGCCAGGTCGCTAACTCCTCCACGCATCTTTGGTGATAAAAATCTGTCGTCCATAGAATTCACCGAACAGAAGATGACTTTCTTCATTTATTTCTCATCATCGAATGAAAATAAGGCTTATTTTGAAGAATGAGAACAGCTTCTGGTGATATCTCAGACTTTTCGATATTTCCCTTGACAATTTTCCAAATATTAATCCTTCTGTCATCGTCTTTTCGTGAATTCTGAAGATAATTAACAATCGGAAATCAGTACGCTGGCTCCTAAAAGAAACTACATAACTCAGAAAACATTTCCAAAACCACGGATCTCAAGATTTCGCTCTGAACTCAAGTATTTCACGAGTATTGACTAAAACTTTGTATCTCAGAGGAGGTGACAGAAACCAAGTATCTCAGTGAAAATTCAGAAACACGTGACTCAACAGCTCTGATTAATCTCCGTTTAGTTTCGCTAGTAACCTATGAATAAAATTCAGAGCTGCCAATCCTTAGCTCCCAAACTGCTGCAGTTTTTCTTGTTGCTTGAGAAAATCGTTCATGGTTTCTATGAATCAAGTCCATCAATCTTTTAGGGATCAGGATTAGCTGAGCCCTAGTAGTTAACTAATATGAATAATTGAAAAATTTCTCATAGATATTAATGAATAGTGGCAAAGAACCAATTAGATAAAATGAATGAGTAGTTTCAAAATGATTCACCAACCCCTTCATTACCCAACTGCACGAAAAGTTAATGTTAAAAGAAATGAGATGACAACAATTTACCAATTACTAAATTGATTGAATATCCGCAAAGCCATAAGAGGTTTGGTTTTCTGACAACTGATGACCGGTATGAAATATTCCCCAAACAAAGAAGTATATGAAAATATCCGCAGCAACTCTATCCGAGGAATTAAAATAAAAATGATAAGGGCATCGAGCGAATTAGACGGTTCGCAGTTACTGACAACTAACACCTGCAGGTGTCCGCTTCCGATTTTGACGAAACTTGAATTTTATAGAGGACTCAAAACTAAGTGCCACGTATTTTGCCAAATCCAGGAAATTGATCTTCTTTTGCCTTTAAATTGCAATTTAAAAAAGAATGCAAAAAAAGGTATTTTGTATTTTTTTATGCACTTTCAGATGAAATTGGTTTCATGAAATTCGGAGCGATATATTTTTTTTATTGAATTAATGACTTTTCACGGGGCTAGTTTACTCTCGAAATTTCACCCCTCGGAGATGATTTCAATTTCTATCTTAATCATTTTCCATGAGCTTCCTGTTATATTACCAAAAATTTGTCTAAATATTCTCCCTATGTGCGCAATTGAAGAAATACCCCGGGAGGTGGTCAACTTCAGAGGGCAGTTTCACCCCCTAAACCCGCGTATGGGCCGATAAAAAAAAATACGTGGCATGAGACACTTGAGATTGGAAATGTTCTCTGAGTTACGTAGTTTTCTTCAGGAACCATCGAGTAGTGAAGGGGTAGACACCTGAAATTGTTTTTCTCCATCAGAAAATAATTTTCAAATGTCTTGGCATTTTCCCTGTTCTACCCCTCAACTATGTCGACTTCATCACCCCTGACTCACTCGCACCGGGTACAATTGGTTACACCAAAAAAGTAAAAAGCAACAGAAGAAAAAAAAGTTTCAACTAATTTCACTACGCTAACTGCTACATCACAATCAAAAAATGTATAATATACTTCACCCTCAGATCACTCACAAAAAAATTTGTAGCGTCACCAACAAATATTCGGCCATCAAGACGTTTTAATTCCTCCAGATGTATCTTTCAAACACAAGCGCAAATAAATATTGATCAACATCACTAGTCATTTCGTCATTAATTACCGATACAACTGAATATATATTTATAATAATTAAGAAAAAAAATAATAAAACAAAAAAGGGATCGACACTTTGGTTGAATTAGTCAAATTAACCGCGTCGAACTGTTGCGTTTCGTGACAGACGTACGGAAGAATTTTTCATTTTTTTTTCTATTTTTCAGTCTTGTGGAGTTCTATTCTAGTTCAAGATCAGGTTTCCTATTGAATTTTTCAAGGCACATTATTCACTGACCGAATATTTATCGTGTAAAAATCGATTCAAGGCCTCACCAGGAGATTAAAGCACATTACAAAGGCATTAAAATGTTCCTCTAACATAAAAAAACAATCATGTGGAAGCGAGTGACGCGGTTTTCTCTATAGAAGAAAAAAAAAGTTATTTGTTACTTTGGTAATGACTAGTTCATACTAAACTCTACCTTAAAAACGTCCTAGGTATGATTTTCATTATGGCTTGTGATGGTTTTCCTATATCGAAGATTCAAGAGAAAATACTCAATTATTATGGCTTGGTATTGAACGTCACCTGATGATAATCGGGCGCCGTAACAAAGCAGCAGAAAAATTTATGAATTATGATTCGTTATGCCGCGATTTTGTTGAATTAACAGGAGATAATTTTAATGAAAATCGGGATAAACGAAGAATTCCGTAAATTTTTACAGATTTCGAGATTCGAAACGCGTTTCGTACGATGGCTAACATCACATTCACACCCCAATTTCAGAATCATCATAGTCAGAATTGAATACGATAATTTGGTCTGGGTATGGACCTAGCTTTGGTCGGCGGAAGACTGGAGATGGATGCATCACTGGCAGTTCCCCCCGAGTCCCTACCCCCGCTCTTGGTGGAGACAGTGCTTCCGGTGCTGAGTCCCCTGGAGATTCCAACCTGTTTCCTCAGGGTAGCCTTGGCATCCCCATCGCTGAGCCTGCCATACTCCCCGATCCTCCTGGAGGGCGGCGGAATGAGGGACCTCCCCTGCATCTCCCTGTGCTTGACATCCACCATGACCCCCAGTTTCTTCGACTCCCCCAGCCTCTCGTACTCCCCGCTCGAGGGCTTCTTCAAGCTCGCCGCCTGGACGAATCCCTCCGACTTCTTCCTGCGCTGGTTCTTCAGGTCGAACCTCCCATACTCAAGCGTGCAGTTCCCAGAATCCCTCCCCTTGATCCCCGTATCGATGACCGGACCAGGATCCGACTTCTTCCTCGTCTCAGAATCACTCAACCGACAGTAACGCGAGTTGGACTTGAGTGTCCTAGGTGGTCGCGGCAGTGAACTGGGAGGTAAACTTCCCGCCCTCCTCTGCTCACCCTCCTGCATCCTCTGTCTCTGCGAACTCCTTCCCTGCTTCTCCAGCAGCATCATATCCTCAGGCTTACCATCAGACAATCTCGATACTGTACCTTTCAATCTCGCAAATTCAATAATTCCAGTATCAACACCAGTGTCATCCAGCAAACGACTCTTACTCGATGCTGTACTTGAACTACCTGCACTATCTACACCCGCCAATAATGGCTTGGGTATTTTTCCTTTTCTCGACGCAGTGCCTGGATTAGAGAATCCTGGAAAACAGCAAAGTGCCCGCTGAAAACAAACGAAAAAATTCCCGAACCATTGGAGAGGAGGCAGGATTTTTCTTTTTTCTTTTTTTGGATGGGTTAGAGCCAAATCAACAACAGCACATGCTCCACTCGGTGAATTTTCGTTTGTTTTTTCATTGTGATTTTTTCATTGGGATGAGGAGCGGGGGGATTAGTTGGAGGACACGCAACAACTCAGAGCAGAGGAACACAAAACTCAAAACACAAATGTTAAGGTGAATGAAGGACAACTGGCATTCAGTCGCAACTCTTCGGTTTATTGTTGACGCAAGAATTTAGATTTTTTTTCGCATTATAAACAGAGATCGGCACAAATATTATTTTCACCAATATTTGCACCGCAAATACATATTTTTTGCTTAATCACTAATAACGTAAATATTTTTCATTATTTTATGAATGAGTATTGAGAAATTTGAATTTTTTAAATACCGTCTCCATGAGTAATAATTAATAATAAAAATTATTATTCATGTCATCAGGAATTTGACTTGAATATTTTAGAATAGTTATTCAATGAATGATCAAACCAAAAATATTTTTCAATACTCATCTAACAAGGAGAGACTCAGGTGTGTGGATCACCGATTTCGATGAGTCTCCCGCCATTTGTAGAGGACAACAAATAGAAACACAAAATATATACGAGTTCTGAAATCACGTTTACCGCAAAGCCGCCATGGCGCAGCGGTAAACGTTCAGCCTATAGACTCGACGGTCTCAAGTTCGAGTCTCCCACTGTCAACTTTTTTTTCTTTTTTTTTTCTTTTTGCTTCCGAATGGAAGCATTGTATTCCTCCGAATTTAAGTTTCCAGTTTTCTTCGTGAAGATGACTAATTTGGGAGTCAGGAGTCCGAATCTGATGTTTTTAGGCCCTGTCCGTATGTATGTATGTATATGCGTGTGTATGTGACCGATTCAGTTTTTTCACGATAACTTCAAAAATAATTATCTGAATCAATCGAATCTGGGCTATAAATATGCGTTTTTATGTTATACAGACAGAGTTCGATGATGGTGTCGATTGTGCTTTTAGTTTTTGAATTATTCTCAAAAATTTGGTTCAAGGTTGGTCCAATGTTGGCGCAAGTTTGGCCCAATGTTGGCGCAAGGTAGGCCCTTATGCGGGGCTTATGGGAGTTTTATGGGGGTCTTACGGGGTTTATGGCGGTCCTATGGGAGTCTTATGTATGGGTGTTTTATGGGGATTTACGAGGATTTATGGGGGTCTTAGGGGGGTTTATGAGGGTCTTACGAGAGTATTATGGGGTTCATATGGCTGATAAGGATGAAAAGGGTAATGAGGGTCTTATGGAGACGTATATCATCAGTTAATGGCAAAGTGCAATGAAAAGGCAATATCCATTCGGAAGTATATTGCTAATTCTTAGCAAAAACTGGCACCATAATTGACACAATTGAAAGCAATTGTCCACTTGTTTCCTAATCGTATATACAAAATTAAATAGACGTCGCCTCAAATGGCGTCAGCCCCTGTTTAGTATCATAAACCGTCTGTCCCTTGCTAATCCCTTGCCCAACAGGGCACCATAAAAATGTGGCACATGCCCATCACAAATTGAAGTATAGTAATGTAGTCGCACTTTTAATAATTTCTTGTTAATTGTAAACAATTAACAAGAAAACAGAAGAAAAAGAAAAACTCGGGACCCTCATTTCGGAACTCGTATAGATTTTGTGTTTCAAACTTCGGGGGTGAATTTCTCTCTTATTCTTGAGTGTTGCACCCTAGGACTTTAGTGGTGCAACCAGCCCTACTGGTCCTCTACAAATGACCCACACACCTGAGCCTCTCCTTGTAAGCAATAATGAAAACTGAAATATTTTAATTATTCTGTTAATGGGTAATGTTGACCGTCAAAATATTTATTACTGTGACAATGGACAATAATCAAAAATCAAAATGTCATTCCCTGTGATGATAATCAGAAATAAAAACTCAATTAGTCAGTAATTTTATACAGTGTTTCACATCTTGTGACGTCAAAGAATATAGTTACTATGATAATTAAATGATAATGAAAAATGAATTTGTTTCCATTATTCATGACGAAAGAAATCGGGATTCTCTGTTTTTCATTTTCCATTGATATAATAATGAAAATAAATTTTGTGCCATTATTGATTGATAAATTATTGGCTACTTTCTTCATTCTCATTTCTCATTAGTATCGCAATGAAAAATATATTTGGTATCGTTATTCATTACGAAATAAATCATAATTCAATTATTTTCGATAACCACTGAAATGGTAATGAAATATTAATAATGGTAATTATTTTCTTGCCGATCTCTGATTATAAAATTCAATTGCTTGACGTTTGGAATGAAAGTGAGAGGGAATGAGACTGATTTCACCTCTTGGTACAGATTAATATTTTTTTATTTGTAGAAAATCGTGTAATGGGTTATGGATGCTTTGACACTGTAAAAAATATATCTGCAGAGTTTGAACTGAGGCGGAGTATTTACAATTTATTGATTAGAATAGATATTTTTGACAGTGCATAGGCGATAAACACATTGACAAATCCATGGGAAAATATTGTTTTGTCTCTTGATAAAAATTCAAATCACTTCACACACAAATTGAGATACGATACCTGGTTGGAATAATTGGAAATATGATTTCTCATGAGCTGAAAGACCTAACGAGATGAATAAATTGACACCGAAGTGAGAGAGTGATTAAAATCTGGAATTGATTCTAAACGAAAGATGAATAGAAACATTGATTGAGTTTGTACTCAATCATTGATAATAATTAATTTAGAAGTGCAGAAATAACACAGAGTCTTATGAGGAAATGAACTTTTCGAGGTCAGGGACAAGATTAAAATCTAGAAAAAAATCTCGAAAGATCAGAAGAGATAAATAAAAATTCTGTGTCCAATATTAAAATTATCGTCAGTCTCAAACTTTCATCGAAGCACCCTAATCAAACGAGAAACTACTGTTAAAAAAAATAACTGAAGAAAGAATTTGATGGATCAATTCCTCACACTCCTCAAACTTAAAATTCACGAAAAAAAATATCAATGATGAATATTTTTTTGACTTTTTAAATTTATTTTTCCTCATTACCCTCAACGACTCAACCGTACTTTATTTATACTACTTCAACGTATATCACAGCAAACTATTATGAATTGATTTTACGAATAAGAAATTATGAATTTGAATCCAAGAATTCCATCACCATATTCGCTAGAAAACATTCATCCCTGTGATCACGACAGCTGACCTAGTCGTCATGACGATAAAATAAATAAAAAATGATGAGACAGTGATGACGGATATTGGATACTGACATCAGGAAGGAGCCATTGTAAAAATCATAAATAATGACTAAAGAAAATATTGACACACTACACTGTGGAGATTCTTCCTACCTTGCTGAGTAGCTGTGAGTCAAGTTCTTTCAATTGGTCATCGAGGCTCTTGTTGGTCTGCTCAAAGCTACCCTGTTTTCTGTACTTGTAGCTGTCAGTAACACCATATGTACCAGTACTGCCGTACGTTCCAGCACCCCCCAGGACACTGCTAGCTGCTGACATACGCACTGATATGAGTCAATGCAGAAGACACGTCAGGCAAATGATTTTATTGTCATTGTTTTTTATGATTTGGGGGGCATAAAATTTACCGAGCTCAGGAGTACTGGTGAGACCTGTATGATCTGCTGATGCACTAGAGTGAGAGGAATGTGCAGCTGGATAACTACCAACTCCACTGCTGCTGCTGCTATCTTTATCGTACGTGTGCTTCTGAAGTACACGTATCATAGCGTCTCTCTCGGCGAGCTTTGACTCAAGATCTTTCATTCTAAAATCAGAGAGGAAAAATTCAATGAGGAGGGAGGAATGTAAATTTAGCAACTCTGGAGATTTTTCTTTTATTTGCAAAGGGAAGCATTTCAATGGCTCCTAAATGAAACTACGTAACTCAGAAACATTTCCAAACTCAGAGATCTCAAGAATATTGACTGAAACTTTGTAACTCAGAGGAGATGACAGATACCAAGTATCTGATTGTCACAGAAAATTCAAAAATACGTAACTCAGTAAATGTGATTAAAGACTCTTATGGCTTTGCGAATATTCAATCAATTTAGTAATTGGTAAATTGTTGTCATCTCATTTCTTTCAACATTAATTTTTCATGCAGTTGGGTAATGAAGGGGTTGGTGAATCATTTTGAAACTACTCATTCATTTTATCTAATTGGTTCTTTGCCACTCTATTCATTAATATCTACAAGAAATTTTCCAATTATTGATATTAGTTTTTCGGCATTAGCGATCTGTATGAGTGGGTAACTAGGGATCAGCTAATCCTGATTCCTAAAGGATTGATGGGATTGAAGCATGGAAACCATGAACGATTTCCTCAAGCAACAAGAAAAACTGCGACAATTTGGGAGCTAAGGATCCGCAGCTCTGAATTTTATTCATGTTGTTACCTAGATTCAAGGTCAGCTAGTTTTTTGTGAGCCGCATGCACTTCATCCAGATGCCTCATTTTCTCAGATCTTGCTTCGGCGATCAGTTTCTCGGCGTCTTGACTTGTCTTCTCCAAGGCTGCTATTTTAGCATCCCTGAAGATCACAATTAGTGTGAGAATTTAAAAAAAAATGATGGATCCATCATATCAAGTTGAAGTCGAAAATATTTCAGTCGAAAAAATTATTTGTGAACTGTGTGAATTGAATTGGATATGTCTCTCCCATGGCAGAATTTCGAATATTTCAACTGAAAATTTCTTGAGAAATTTCATTGAAAATATTTCATTGAAAACTTCTTCAATAAATTTCCAGTGATATTTTCTCTAAATCTAAGACGTATCTCAGAATTATTGTGACAAATTAAAAACCCATAAGAACAGCGCAAATTGTATTGCAAACCTTGAATTTTGTTCGCTGATGAATGGATGAAATTGAATCGTTTTTTTTCAAATGTAGGTATTGTTGAGCCCTATCAATCGCCACTAATTAAATTATAATTTATCGATTAGTTTTTTTAATTTTCGAATTCTTCCGAAAATTGGTTATCCCACGATAACTTTAAAAAATGGTCTGAATGGATTGAATGATGGCTTGAAAAATTTGTTTGGATGTCCCTTATTTATATATAAAAATGTTTTTCTATTGCCTCAGAAGAATAAAAAAATCTCCTGATGTCTTCCGTGGGAGTCAAAACGTTGGGATAATTTTAGGCTCTGAAAAATTCTTCCTGAACTTCAAACACCCTAAAATTTCTGAAGACCATTTTTGAACATCAACAATCATGAAATCCATCAACGTTCAAGAAAATATTTTTAAAAATATCATCTAGGGGAGAGTAGGGGAAATGGGATAGTCCAATTTTGCACAAAAGAATGAGAAATTTTTTAAAATCATAAAGATATTCATTACTCGTGTAATTTGGTTCCCTTTTCCTCCCTTTTATTGATTTCTGATGGAATTACTGAAATGTGGGAAAATAATCCTCGTTCCTCGAATTTCATTGGTCGAACATTCGGATCCGCCCACACGTGTTCGACTTCGTTCGGCTTTCGGTTTTCGTGTCACGATTTGTCTTTAACACGCGCGTTCAAGCGCGCGATCATTCTCGTTTATTAAAAACGGATAATGAATGTACAAAACTCAGTGACCAAGTGATAGACTAAAGGTTGAATGAGCTTTAAGCCTAGCGCAGCCTTTCCAATCGTTTTCGAGATATGAAATAAACATGAAATCTTAGTATCGAACCTTTTCTACGAAATTCATGAGAATTTATGGGACAGAATCAGTGTAAAACGGTAGTATCTCCACTAATCTTTCCGATATTGATAAAAAAACCGTTGAATACAAAAGTGTTAATATCAATTTTTTTCAGTGGAATTTTAGACCTCTGCACACATTAATAACAATTTGCAGGATTTTTCGAATTTTCAACTATCCCATTTTCCCCGGTGAACAAAATTACGATAATCGAGTGAAAAATGATCCCGAATTATAATATTCGGCTCGAAACAAGTGATATTAGAAGAAAAATTGATCCCTCTAACATGTGCAAAATAATGGTATTCCATTTTGCCCTACCCTCCCCTACATGAAAAAGCTCGAGAATAATCACTAACTTTGGAAGACTAGCAGCATCGATGGCAGCCTGCCTCAAGGCACTCTCCTCGAGATACCTCTGCTCCCACTTGGCAACATCCCCCTCAAGCGACATGATCTTCTCATCCCTCTCCCTCATCCTCCTCCTCAACTCGGAAATGGTCTCCCCACTGGCAATCCCCTCCCCGCCTGCCCCATTTCCCCCCTCCCTGAGTTCCCTCTCGAGCTGTCCCCTGAGCTGTCTCTCAGTCTCCTCCCTTCGATCAGAGGAGGCCTGCAGAGACGACAGAGCCCTCTGGAGCTGTCCCACCCTCTCCACATACGCCTGTTTCTTCCTGCACTCCTCCTCAAGCCTCACAACATTTCCCTGTGCATTCGTCAAAGCAGTATCAAGAATATCGATATGCGTCCTCTGCTCCTGGAGGGTAGCCCTCTGGGCAGCAAGTTCAATCTCCTGTCTCTCCTTGGCAGCAGCAAGCTCCTTGTTCTGAGTTATCAGCTGCCCAATCAGCAATTCCCTCTGCGTCAGCTCCTTCTTCATGGACTCGACGATAGGTGTGTTATCAGATCTCGACGATAGCAGATCAATCTGATCCCTCAACGCTCTGTTCAACTCAGTCAATCTTCTCACGTCATTCTGAAGCCTCAGCCTGGCAGCCCTCTCCAGCTTCTCCCTTCGCTCACAAGAGGCCGCAAGCTCCTCATGAGCTCTGTGGACCTTTGATATCTCCTGCTCAAGCTTCTGTGACTTGGACACTTTATTGTAACAGCGCTCAAGCTCTAGCTTCAAAGCGCTGTTCTCCTGAATGACTATCTGCACCATTTCTGAGGGTGGCCAGATCTCGTTGGAAGTTGTTTCAATCTCCTCTCGTCCCTTCGTCTGGGGTCGAGGGGAGGTGGCAGGTGGATCGTAAATGTCATGATCTAGTCTACCTATTCTGGACAAGTCTGGCTGGGACCTTGAGAGGGTGAGTTTCTCGGTGGGACCGAGGAGTCGGTGCTTTGACTTTAAGGGATTCAAGGTTGTCGTGTAGCTGGGTGATGGGCGATCAGTGAATTCATTGCTATTCTGTTTGGTCTTTGGGTACGATGGCTTGACCTCTTTGGCCAAGTGCTTGAGGACTTGGAATTGACTCAGGTAATCGTCGGGTATGTCTGTTATTTCCTGACAGCTGTTTGTCTGATCGTAGTAACGATCCTCGTGGGGAATATTCGATAAGGATTGCATTGTGGGGCTGTTGGAGTGACCCTTGCCACCAGCCTCACAGAACAGGTAACCCATGTCACCGTGTTCACGGACTATTGACGACAGGCGACCTGATGGTGACCAGTTGTTATCGTCATTAGCATTGTGGATTATCAGGGTGTTGTAGGAGCTTGTTGATATGTCTAGGCTACTGCGGTTAGAGCCCACACTTGTGCGATTGCTCAAATTGTCTTTTAGACTATTGCGATTTGAGCCGTTGATACTGTCTTTTAGACTGTTTCGGTTAGAGCCGGTTAGGGATTCTTTCAGGCTGTTGCGGTTGGAACCGGTTAGAGAGTCCTTCAGACTGTTTCGATTTATTATGGAACCCTGGAATATTCGGGTGATGTTTTCACAAAAGAGGATTGATCTAGCGTATCTTGACGTTTTTGGCCAAGTGCCTGATTGTGCATAAGGCTCTTTGAATAATGATTAAACAAGTGAATGAACTGGATGAAACTCTGTCAGAAAACTCTGCGGAATTATGACTGTAATATTTGGTATCCGGTCTAAATGTTATGGTAACCAATATTAGGCCTAAATATTACGGTAAATAACATAACGATCAAAATTGTTACAGGATGTAATTATGGTATTCAATTGATTCATCCCATAACAATTCATCTCAAATCTCTCCTTGAATTATTGTTGTGTCCGTGAAAAATTCCATTGGAATTTGATGTTTGGGATGAATTGTCCCAATATTAATAAATTTTAAATATTTCGTTATTCGTAAAAATCAGATTATTAAGATTAAATTATTTGAAGAATTGAATCAACATATTTTAAACCTTCAATAATGTAAGGGTCAAATCCGTGTAATATTACAGAAATTGAATATTGATGGGGCTCCCTGCCCATAATCATGTTTCAATGATGGAATCGATGTAAAATTTCTGTCTGCCCTTATTTATTTTCAAGACTTACTTGAATATTTGGTATATTTTCCTTGTGACTCGATGATCTTGATGGACTCTGCTGCTGATTCTCCTGGCCCTGTGGCTCTTGTCTAGCTGTATGCCTTATCACATACCTCTCTTCATTACTCAAATTCTCGTTCGACGTTGATACATCTGTATCACTACCACTCAAGCTCTGTGGCAGCCCTGTCAATCAAATATATTTCACAATTTTACTTTGCAACACCGTTAGTCATAATCAGCCTACTCTCCACTTGAGATGGGAGCAATTACTCGAGATAATGAGGATGATTGACATGATTAGTTTACCTTGAGTGGATAATTGTTTACGCTGAATATTGTTATTCGTGAACGGCAGGAATCGACCGGTTTGCTGAAGTGAACTCATTCTACAAGTTCATTTATGTCATCAGTTGCTGCTGTAAGATTAACATTTTTTTTCTCTCTTGGGATTGATTTATCGGGACTGACCTTAATCAAAGTTCAGGGGGCAAGTCAAAATCGGATGGAGATGTGGATGAGTTTGGAAAATGGAATGTGGAATTCCGAGCGAGTGATGGGTGGAATCTTTGGGACTTAATGAGATTGAGATAACTCATTTTTGTGGAGGACAAAGTGATATTCTATCAATGAAGTTCAATTTTTGGAGAGTCTTTGGGTCAGTTCATCAGTGGAGAGACATTTTTTTAACGCATCCAAACCAAATGGTTTATTCTGCTTAAAAAAAAGATTACAGAGATGTATACAGGGTGTCCCAAGATGATTTGGACGGCTAAATAACTAGCTAAAAAGTAGTTAAACGCGAAATTGTTTCAGACCAAACATTATTAACCTTCGTTGGTCACCCTACGCGACCCAGCGACTTGGTCACGACCGCGGGGAAGTTCCGCCGTGTTATTTAGGCCTGAACGTTGCCAAATTCACTCTACACTGCCCGGGAGCGTTTAGCGAATTTCCGGCAACGTCGCGTAACAGGCACTTCGATTTAACATGGGAAAGATTAATTCCTCTGTCAGAAATAATTTGTTTTTTTTTAGGAATTTTAAGAATTATGTTGTTCTATAACTATTAAAATTAAAAAAAAAAAAAAATTTTATCACATAAAAATGGCAGATGACTTCATACCACTGTTTTGAAAATTGAGATACCTAGCTGTCACTTCCCAGGAGGAGTTAGTGTTTTGTTATCCACCATGGAAAATGACAGCTAATAGATCATTTGCCACGGCGAATCAGATATTTGTAATTTCCACTTTTTTCAACTCATTCTGAATCTCAATTAAAAACGCTCTTTGAAAATGTTCAGAATTTTTTCTTTTTTTTTATCATTCTATCATTTTTTTTGGGAATTTCTATATGATGTACCACTCAATTGACAATTTTGGATTACGAAAGATAAAAAAAATCCAGATAACATTCGAAAGATGGTACACCCGGGCCTTAAATGTTCAGTTTACATGACGTGAAAAAAGAAGACATGCTCTGGTCTGTTGGGATTGTGAAGGGACATGTTTAGTGACTAGAAAATTTTTTTTTAATGTTCACGGAGATTTTTTTCAAGATCATGGGGGACCATTTCTTGGAAAAAATTTCCATAAAAATCAGGATCGATTGTATCCCTTCACAATTGAATGAAAAACACAAAAAAAATCTATTTTATAATGCACAATGAAAAATGAATTATTCAACTGAAGCAGATGAAAAATATTGAGGAAAAAATATTGAATAAATCTTCACTGTGGATTTTGCTTTTTCCTTACAAAAAAGTTCCCATAAAAATATCAATTCATTGTCATGCACAATTAAAAATAAATAATTCAATCAAAACAGATGAAAATCTCCACTTCAACAGAATCACACAAGAAACAATGAAAAATAATTTTCAAAAAATTCTTCCACAAAATCTCAACTTTTCAATTTGTCATCGATCAATGACTCTTCAAAGAAATTCCTAATTATCAAATTCCATCAAACATTCACCATGAAAACTTTTGGACCAATCTTCATTATGGATTTTGCTTTATTTTAGAAAAAAGCTGCCACAAAAATTTCAATTCACCATATTCCTCCACAATTGAATGAAAAAAACATTTTGAAAAAATTATTTAGTAATGGACAATTAGAAATAAATAATTCAATTAAAACAGATGAAAATCTCCACTTCAACAGAATCACACAAGAAACAATGAAAAATAATTTTCAACAAATTCTTCCACAAAATCTCAACTTTTCAATTTGTCATCGATCAATGACTCTTCAAAGAAATTCCTAATTATCAAATTCCATCAAACATTCACCATGAAAACTTTTGGACCAATCTTCATTATGGATTTTGCTTTATTTTAGAAAAAAGCTGCCACAAAAATTTCAATTCACCATATTCCTCCACAATTGAATGAAAAAAACATTTTGAAAAAATTATTTAGTAATGGACAATTAGAAATAAATAATTCAATTAAAACAGATGAAAATCTCCACTTCAACAGAATCACACAAGAAACAATGAAAAATAATTTTCAACAAATTCTTCCACAAAATCTCAACTTTTCAATTTGTCATCGATCAATGACTCTTCAAGTAAATTCCCAATCATAAAATTCCATCAAACATTCACCATGACCCATCACCACCCGTGCCATTACCCAAGTGCTAGTGGTAGGGCAGAGGACTCTGACAGAGGTGTCAACACTCTGGAATTTCGATAATCCAAACGGATACGGATGATTTCATCACACCTCTCCGGAATTCCAAAAATTCCCCCAAAAACCCCATGCCCCCTCCCCCCCTCGCAAACAGCGAAAAATCACCGAAAAATTTTCCCCATGAAATCCAAAAATACACTTTTCACGTCACATTAGTCTCCATATTTTTCGAAACTACCAAAGTCAGAGCCGAGAAGTTGCACAAATAAACAAAAGGAGGCAAAATTCATTGTGATCACGAGCCCCCGTACCCCATCACCCCCTCCCGGTCCCTCTCATTAACCCAATTATTCGTCAGGATTAACGGATTAATTGAGTTCAGGTACTTACGGACAATTTGTGCACCAAGCACACAACCGAAAAATTCGTAACTATTTTAATAAATTAGGACCCTTTACTCCGCAGTCCACGAGAAAATAAAAAATCACTGATTGACGCATTCCTCGCCAGGGCGCGACACCTTGCAAAATGGCCGAGTTTGCGGGAGTGGGAGAGAAAAAAAAACACGCACGTAGTACGGAGTACAAACATTCAGCGTGGAAAAATATTGCATTGAAAAAAAAGCGAGACAGATTTTTTCGTTTATCTAATCAATGAAAAACATTTTTTTCGACAAGTGGAAATAAAATTGTATTCGGGGGCTCGCAAAACCAACAATTCGAGCGTCATTTTTTTGCTGATTTTTGAAGACAAGAAGTAAATTACTTTTTAAAAATATTATCTGACTATTGGAGTGAGAAGAATGATAAATTTGATTTTGATGGGGTCGTGGATTTTTTTTATGTGGACAATTGAAATTGTTAAGTGTTGGGAAACACTTGTTGATTCCTTTTTTTGTATATGAAGATTTAAATTTGTTAGCAACCATAAAACACTCGCTGATTCATTGGAAAATTTCTGAAAATTGATTTTTTCAATTTGTTAATATTAGAAGTACAAATTAATAAAGTGTTTTTTATTAAATCTAGAATCTACAAAAAAATACAATAATTAATTAGATTAATCAAAAAATTTTTTGTAATTCTCCATTGAAAATGTTGAAAAAATTCGACTTTTGTTCAATGCATCAACATTAATTATACAAATTGACAACCTGTTTTTTCATGAAATTCATAATTTATTTGTAAAAAAAAATACATTCAGTACTAAAAAAAAATCTCCATTACGATCTTTTGAAAATCTTCTAAAAATTGTTTTCTTCTTTATTTACAAATACTTCCATTCCCTCTTTCATCAAATTAATTCGTCAACTGAATTGTCTGTTACTCCTATTTTTGGTTATGTAATCCAACAATTGTATCACCGAGCATAATCGCCCCCCGACAAGAATGAGTGGACAATTGACTCGAGTGTTGAGAACATTTCGACTGTTCAAGTTGTTACCCTGTTCATCATTTCGTCGGCACAATCAGGGATTCTTGATCCTAAAAAGTAACGATTGACCTCTCGAGTCGTGCTATTTCCTCAATTAAGTCTAAAAGTTTTTAGTTTCTGAAAATTTTCAATTATCAATTCCATCGGATTGAAGGGATTGAGAGGAGCTGGGGATGACCTCCGGTTACATTTTCTCTGTTATCATTCTAGTTCTCGGTAACCAAAGTCCCCCCGGGAGTTCCATTCACGTCAACAGCTCAATGTCTTCAAGAAAAACCTGGCCTGTCCTAGAACCCTACCATGTCAATTATGAGGATCTTCTTGACGCTCAGAAGGATAATAGTGTCCTGATTATTGATGTCAGAGAGCAGAAGGAGATTGATGAGACTGGAAAATTACCAGGAAGCATTCACATCCCTAGTAAGTTTGCAGATCCACAACATGTTTGAAAAGATTTTGTTTCCTGAGGAATTCTGTTGAATTCCTATAAAAATTCTATCCAAATTTGCAAAATTTTTCTCAAATGTATCTCTGAGATGTTCAATTAATATCCAGCAATCTCCCTCGTGAAAATCCGCTTGATAGATTCGGCCAAATAATGACATAAAATTTCAATAAACGACAAAAAATGGGAAATATTACGAATTTTGACATAGATTGACAGAATTTGACATGACTAGGGGGGCTACGTCAACCCCATATCCCCATGACCCTTATCTAGACCCTTGTGACCCTTAATCTGACCTTCGTGACCCCTATTCTGACCCTCATAACCCTCGTGACTACTATTTTGACCCTTGTGAACCTTAATTACTGGCCTTTCATTGATGACCTTCATGATCCTTAATCTGACCCTTGTGACCCTTAATCAGACCCACACTGACCTGTAATCTGACCCATATGACCCTTATGGCTCTTAATCTGACCCTCATAACCATTTTTTTACCCTCGTGACCCTTCTTATTGTCTTCAAGATTTTTTTTGCGATAAATTCCGTTGAAAGTTAAAAAATTACATTATTATCTTGAATTTAATATGACAAATTTTGTCCGAAATATTTTCCATTTCTTGAAAATTTATGATCCATTTATTTATAGCGGGAAACGTATCGAAAGTCTTGGAAACTCTCCCAGATGATGAGTTTCAAAAACAGTCTGATAAGCCAAAGCCTAAGGACATTAATAAGATAATCCTCAGCTGCAGGACAGGCATCATAACCCTCGCGACTACTATTTTGACCCTTCTGAACCTTAATTACTGGCCCTTCATTGACGACCTTCGTGATCCTTAATCCGACCCTTATGACCCTCATTTGAATCCTTAATATGACCCTTGTGACCCTTAACCAGACCCATACTGACCTGTAATCTGACCCATATGACCCTTAATTTGACTCTTGTGACCCTTATGGCTCTTAATCTGACCCTCATAACCATTTTTTTACCCTCGTGACCCTTCTTATTGTCTTCAAGATTTTTTTTGCGATAAATTCCGTTGAAAGTTAAAAAATTACATTATTATCTTGAATTTAATATGACAAATTTTGTCCGAAATATTTTCCATTTCTTGAAAATTTATGATCCATTTATTTATAGCGGGAAACGTATCGAAAGTCTTGGAAACTCTCCCAGATGATGAGTTTCAAAAACAGTATGATAAGCCAAAGCCTAAGAAGGACACTAAGATAATCCTCAGCTGCAGGGCAGGCATCAGAAGTGCTAAGGTTCAAGGAGAACTCCAAAGATTAGGATATCTGAAGTAAAATCGTGAAACTATCTCCTAAAAAATTAATCAGGACAGTAATGTAAAATAACTAACAGGAACACTCCTTCTTTCAGTACTTGGGATTATAATGGAGGCTGGGTAGAATGGGAGAGCAAACAGAAATCCTGAAGACATCGATCATGACCTCTAGAATAAATAAATTCAATTATAAAGATTGCGATCCATAATCATGTTGATGAATACTCGAAAAGGGAACTGAGAGCTACTCATTTACTAATTATTAATAGAATAAAAATGGAATAAATCTTGTAAAAAATGTTTAAAAAACCGTTACATTCAGTCGCACCCAAATTCTTCGTTTGTCTTTTGAACGTTTTATTTTTCTACCATATTTCTGTTGTTTACCCCCGCCATACATGTTTTTTCTGATTTTCTGTTTGTGGCTTTTTCCCCACTAACAGTCTGACATGCATCTCTTTCCAACTCTGGCGCTCTCGCTCTTTCATTGCCAGAAGTGGGGCGTCAGTATAAATACTAGTTCGGTAAATTCTAACCCCCGGGGCTGAACACTTAGGGAGGGTTCACTGTACAATGATACATCACTCCATCATTAGGATATACTGGATGAAAACAGCGATCATAAACATATACAAAGGTTTACAATTACAAAGATTTTTACTGACGTAATATGGCAATTGAAACAGTTGTTATTTATCTAGATCCCTCGTGGAAATCGGGTCGTCAGATTTTGACAAATTATGACATAAAATGTCAAATTCTGACAGATTATGTCCGAAAATTGCGTAGAAATTATGTCAGAATTTGTTAGAATTTGTCCGAATCAGTCATATTCTGTCAGAATCTGAGTAATCTCGTCAGAAATTGACAAAATATGATCGGAATTTGGAACGGGTTGGTCAGATAATGTCAGAATTTCTCATCAGAAATATGATAACATCTTATAAATTCTGACAAATTCTGTCATCATATGACATAATATATTAACTATTCTTGAGCTCAAAGTCGTCATTTGATAGCATTTCATCGCATTATATGTCAGAATATATTATATTCCGACATAATTTGCCAAATTTTGACGGATGATGTCATTTATTGGCACATTTGCACAGAAAATGGCAGCCCGGAATGACCGAATTTGTCATTAATTGTCATTTTTTCATAAATACGTTTGAATTATGACCGATTTTGTCATATTCTGTTCCTTCGATGACATTATTTGACATATTCTTGCATTTTCTGACGGTATTCTGACCACAGATGATTGTCAGAATGTCATCATCGGATATCCTATGACATCATAAATATTATATAATCTATGATATTATGACATTTTCTGTTAGGTTATGACATTGATTGACGGATTCTGACAGTTTATGACAAGCTGAAATAGGACAGAAAATGACAAAAAAATATATCATATTATGACAAAATANAATGATAAAAAATCTAAAAATCTGTCAGTTTATATGGTTTTATAGAGTTGACATAATATGACATCTGCTGTCAGTATATGACGATGCAATTTCTGACAGAATCGGACATATTTTATCAAATTCTATGAAATTATGTAAAAATCTATCAATTTTCTCATTTTTTGACATAATTTCACATTTTATGTCATAATTTGTCAAAATCTGACGACCCGATTTCCACGAGGGATAAATACACTGAGAAGTTAATAGCATAAATCAAATTATAGGAGGGATGATCGGAATAAATAACTCAGTTGAGATAAACTTAAATCCGGCACGTCTGCACAGAACACTGTATTGTGGCCAACTGATAAATTATGTCTCTGGGTGAGGCAGGTGCTAAGTGTGAGTGTCTACATTAGTATCATGTCAGTGTGTAAGTATCGTTGAGTATGTGGATGTGTTCTAGGTACTGATCATCGTTGTATTCCAACACAGTTGAGCTTATTTCGTTCAATTGCCCAAGAGTCAAGCACTTCAAACCGAAACTATTCAATTGTAATTCTGACGGATTCCGGAAGACCCCAGGTGGCTTTCTCAACTGTTTTAATGGAATTATTCCTGAGATCAATCTCTTTAACTTGAGTGTTCTTGAAGGCATTCGGCGTGATTTCAGTAATTCCATTCGCCAACAAGTAAAGCGTCGAAGTATTAAGCCCAGCAAAATATTCAGGAACAATTTTCGTTAAATTATTAGAATTCAAATTGACCGTCTCAGCAAAGAGACCGTCCCAGGCGTGAGGTTTTATCTCCTGAATGCCGTTACCCCGGAGATGCAAATCCTCAACAGTCAAGCCAGTGAAGATCCCGCTCTCCAGGACCCTCCGCCGCATACCACCGCTGAGATCCAGCGACTCCAGGTTCAGAACGGAAAAGGCGTTAGGCTCGATGGACGAAATCATGGTGTTCTTCAAAGAGATCACTCGCAGGGTCTTCACTTTGTCGAAGACTCCCTTCGGAATATGAGTTATGTTATTGGACTCTAGTAATAGAGCGGCCAGTGTCCGCAGTTCATCGAACATTCCGACTTGCAGGGACTCGAGGGCATTATTCTGCAGCCACAGTTCACCAAGTGATGACATCCCTCGGAAGGCGTTGATGTCGATGTGCTTGAGCTGCTCACAGTTATCCACGTAGAGATGCTTCAATTTGGATAGTCCATTGAAGACTCCGGCCGGGAGGGACGTCAGCTTGTTGTTAGATAGGTTCAGGACCAACAATTCATGGAGTCCGTTGAAGCAACCTGGCTCCAGGGTGGTGATCTTGTTGAACACCAGACCAAGCCTTTTCAGATTCTTCATCGGCGCGAAGGCCTTCGATCGGATGACGGGGAGATTGTTGTCGTAAAGATGGAGCTCCTCGAGGTCCGGAAAGAAATGGGGGATTCCCATGGGGGCCTCGGGGGTCTCGCAAGCGTCCAGGGTCAGAACCTTCAGAGTCCCTGGTACGATCAAATTCTCCGTCAAGTTGATACTTGCGTTGTTTATGTAGAGGGTTTTTGCCTTCAGCCCAACTAGTGACTCTCCTTCCAGCGACAAGATGCTGATGTTCGTGAAGGTCAAGGCGATCAACTCGGAACTCACATTTTGGAAGGCACTAGGTCCGATGATTAAGGAATGTTTGAAGTTCAGGTTGAGGTCGTTTACCCACTTGCGTTGAAGGACGCTTTCGAGAACAGGCGATGTATCTCGAAGCCCGTAAAATAATTCCGCGTATGCGCGATTTTCATCGTCAGCTCGAACTAGGAGCACTGATAGAAGGAAGATGATTATGATGATTGTCTTCATCGCTTGGAGGTTTTCGGGTGACTGCTCTATTTGGGAAGTTGATACTTGTGTGAAGCCCGTTGAATTGAGACACGTGACGATGAGACGATCAGCCGAACCTAGCGACGCGCACTTTTGTTCAATTACCACGTAGATCGGACGGAAACGGCTATTAGATGATTAACTTTCATCACTGGTACTTGAGGTATCATCTGTTTCGAATGTCATACGATGAGTTGTGGGTGACATCATAGCGAATTTCTTCTTCTCGTGTTTTCGACATGGATAAAATTGATTTTTGAAAGATTATAAGACACCTTTTGCTGTACGGCCCATAGGAGCCCATAGGAGCGTATTGATATCAATGTTTAGAGCCATGATTCATTTTGGTTTTGATAACAATTTTTTGAGTGATCGTTGAAAAATCGATTTTTGGAAAGATCAATTGAAACCAGAGTTGAGGACCAGAGATTGTAGCAGAGATGTCAGACAAGATATGAATGTTTTTTTGGGCTCAAATGAAAGAGCGGGTCGAGAAATGGCGTGCTAGGGCTTCTAAAGATGGTTTTGAACCAGGGGAGACTCCTAGACCCCACTGGACAATTGTGTCACAATTGCGCTTTTCAATTGAAAACAGACATCATCTTTAGAGACATTTGTCATCTTTAAAGACTTCTGCACGCCATTTTTCCAGCTGCTCTTTCATTTGAGCCAAAAAAAAAACATTCATATCTTGTCTGACATCTTTGTTACAAACTCTGGTCATCAACTCTGGTTTTCAGTTGAAATTGGAATTGTTAATTTACACAATAATAGGATTGCATTGACGATTTTTTCTCAACTCGCAAAAATCTTCAAACAATTTGCTATCGATTGGTGATAAAATTTTTTGGAAATAATGAAATAGGGGGGATAACGCCTTGTTTTCAGAGGTGATTTTCCAAAAATTTATTTTAAAAAAAGTACTAACTAGCAAATGTTTTTTATTAGCTCGCAATTTTCTTCAAAACTACTTCAATGAGGAAAAAAATAAAAATTTGGTATATCTATACATGAGGGGCTAATTGATCGGATCTCATTTGTGGTATTGGACTCGCTAAATACCGTTGAGGGCGCTGTTTTTCGTCAATATGGTCGCTCCAAGGCGCTCATATACGCACCTACACAAACCCAAAATTTGGTTGCGTTAGCGCGTGAGTGCACGTGCGCCTTAGAGCCCAGGTGGCGTTTTCCTATTTAGCGTGTAGCGACTCCGCCTGCGGTAGTCCCCACTTAGACCTCGCGGCAGCGCCTCGATCAACCTCAAGCCGCGACAGCTGCTCAACGTCGCCCACGAAAACAAGCCATTATTCCAAAGCCTCTATTCTAACGCTACACGTGTAGCACTCGACATCAAGTTATTCCAAAGTCTATTTGTACTATTAGTATTACATTATTATAATAAGTATTATTCCTGGTGCTAACTGTGGTGATTCAATTACACTGGGAAACCTTCCAATAAGTCTAAAAGCGAGCCCAATTGGAACTACTAAATATCAACACGCCAACTATGAATGGCGGATATTGGGCTGCACACAGACAGTATGCAACTCAATTTGGGCTTGTGGCAGCGTGTATGTGGAAGCCTAAAATCGCCCATATTGGTGAAAACGAGCGCCGCCATCGGTAATTAGCGGTCCCAATAGTGGGACACATGGCGCCATCCATAATTAATATCGACTGCAAATAAAACGAATGCAATTTCTACTCTACCGACACTGTCTGACCGACTGCAAGGACCGTGCACAGATGTGGTTGTGTACAGTTGTTCCCTCACATTTTTCACAAATCGTGGANACGAACGCCCCCCCCGTTGATGTACAAGTACTTCCATTAAATTAAATGTTGCTGATCGGGTAGCAATCTTCTTTACCCACGACAGTGCCTAACTCGTCATTCCATCCGTCGGCTAGGAAGAAATTCCACATTACGAATATTTTACGTACACTAATTACGGAGGCGATAATTGACGCGGTACTTCACAATAATTCACGAGTGTTTGTTCTTTTAAATTCCACGTAACAATTCTAATACTTCACACATTTGGTGATACTATTGTCATCGAATTCAATCACAACTTGAGTTGTTAGGTCGGCTCGTCACAATTTACTAGAATATAGCGGTCTGTGACGTCACAATGAATGTTTTTGTGCCACTTCAACTGGCTGTTGTCTTCCAACTGTTCAACATTGAACGCCGGAGCTCTTGGAGAGAATCAGGTTGACCTCGACGCAATGAATAGAACTCTGTTCTTCATGCTGGGATCGAGAGTTCCATCTCGCAGTCGAGGGTTTCTTCTGCGCGGGAGCTATTATTTCATTTGGTTCGTTAAAATTTTTTACTCTCATCTGTCATTCGTTTCGATAAATCGTCATTCGAACTACAGTTTGAATATTTCTTCTTTCATTTCTGCACTATTAATACTTTTATTTTCTTTAAAAAAATATAAGATTTATATTTTAAAAACGACAATTTTTTATTGAACATCTCTTAATAACAGTTTTCACTCGCAACAAATAAATTGAGGATGACATTTTATTAAAATCGATTGATTTTTTCTTCTGTTGAAATTTCCAGTGAAAATTAATCGATTTTTTTTTCTATTTTTGAGAGAAATTTAGGGGTTAGGATACATTATGATCGAATTTCAAGATTTTAATTTCCTTTTTTTGGAATTAGATGAATAAAGAATCACGAACTAATGACTTTACACTCGGGAAATTTGAAAATCGAATCGAAAATTTCAATTTGCCCTTGTCCTTTCCCGCGTGTATTCATTGTTCACACTAACAGCGGTTCTCATTCAGGCGTCAAAAAATTTGAATGACTGCCGAGCAGTCCGTCATCAGCCCCTTTTTCACAGTACAGTGGGACCTCCGTAAATGCTCACCTACGTAAGTGCACGCTGTCCCACCACATGATGGGAAGTGTTCCCCCACCATTACAATTCCCCTTCCACTCTCCATCTGCAATGCGCGAGGACTGTGCGCAATAGTATTCTGTTTACCCGGTACTTCGCCGTGTGCGGTTATCCGTGAAATGTTGCTACGTCGCGTGCAGTCGGCCTAGTGGCTCTTTCACCTACCATTGCCTCTACACGTATATCTTGCAAACCCAGCACTCTCGCTCTTCCGCTTGCGAAGAAGGGTCCTTTCATAAGTGCTAATTCCGATAACCCAAACCCCTGGAGGCGTGCAGTTATGGAGGTTCTACTGTATTGTGAAGGGAGGAGATGGGGATTCTGTAATAGGCATTATTGATGACGTGAAAATAGTATATTGTGCCCCTAGGGAGTAATAGTACATTACGCAACTAGTGCGGAAAGCAGGCGGTTACCGCCCGAGTGAGACCGCCTGCTGTCCGCACGTGTTGCGTATACTATTTTATATGATAAGTGTGTGATGAAGTCTGGTGGCGGAGGGGGGGGGGGGGGGGGGCGAAGCCCCCCCCCCCCTGAAGAAAAAAGATCACATTTATTT